GACAATAGTCTTACAATATGTTATTGTTATGGAATTGCCGTCCACACACTACACATTCTAGACAATGTCCAGTCACATCCAATTAATACACACTACACATGTCTAAACGTACTCCATGCCATGTGATGGTTCATGCTACCCTGATTATTATGAACCTTACATGTTTTTTTTGGTTTTCTGAAGTCAATACCTAGTGGTAGTACATACTCCTCGATTTTCGTACGATTTTGGAGTCGATGCTTCCCCATTGTAATGCGATCTCGGAAGGCAGGCCTCCCCTTTGCAATACGAGCTCGGAAGCGGGAGCTCTGCCTTCAGAGGTACGTATCGAGAATGACTCGATAAGTCAAAATCTGTTCAAAGTTTTTCTGGAAACTACTTTTGTTCAAGTTTCATGCTAGCCTGATCATATTATTAGCCGAAAATATTTTTTCGATTTTCGAAGTCCGTATATACATTTGGCAGGCTGTGGACGTGATTGGTTCCATTATCCATATACTTATATTTGACCTGCAGATTTAAAGGAAAATACGCGAATTTGGTGAATAGATTTGGTGAATAGATTTGGTGAATAGATTTGGTGACCAGATTTAAAGGAAGATGCGCAATTTGTCTCGGAGAATGGGAAAAATCGAGATTCCGCATGTGCCGCGATTTCCTTTTGTCCTTGCAAACCCCTCATCACCGACCACCGTTAGGTTCAATTATTCAGAGATGGACATTAGACGCTTTCGCCGACACTATAATTCTGATCTGCACAAAAGTTCTTTAAACAAAAAGCTTTTGTCACGAATTTTTTACCCAGGTGGCCCTCTTAAAATGTTCATTTTTTTGTTTCACCTTAAATAATGATTATTTTACTGTTCCTCTAACAGTAAAACTTCACGGCGTAGTGTCAACTAAACTAAAGACCAGTTTCTTCCGCCGGTTATTTATTGTGTACACAATGAAATTTAAATTTGCATCTTTTTTGTGGTGTTTTGATTCTGTCGTTAAACTGCTAAACTTCATACTACGTAGCTCACAAATAATAACAAGGGTTTAATTAATATTACAGTTTCTTTACTGATCAAGTCTTGATCCACGGCGATAAATTTTGATCAATAAGGAAACTAAGGACATACGGTGAAGGTCTTTTGCTTCACCATGTTATTTGTTAGATACAATGTGGTGCTACCCACTGTGGTCGTAACGTTATAAGGCGTTATACGGCGAGTTGTAGGTAGCATACTGTTAACCGAATGCGTTGTGAACACGTGATAGCTAACAGGTGCCAGAGGGCGCTAACCTACACATGATACAAAATAAGAGCGTTAGTGGACCTGTGATATACCATCGATTCAAATATCATTCCCTCGTGATGACTCCTCCTCCTCCTCCACTGTGGAAAACTTTAGCCTAGTATTGTGTTAGTTTACTGAACGTTCAGCTCTTCACTTGTTTATTATATTTTCATAGATTTTCACTCCTGAGCCCATTTATAATTTGTACATCATCAAGCGATCATCATCAAGGTATTATTGCAAAATTCGCAACAGGAAGCAGCATTAATGAGCTGCAAATTTGGAATGAAGAAGTGGGTTTTATACTTTGTTATATTCGTCCTGGTAGCTGCTACAAAGAGACCGGGTCAGTTTTATATATATTGATCTACTTCTAGGCTAATTCAATGCTGTTTGAGGTAAACTTCCTATATAACTCTATAAGTTTAATTTTACACCAAATTGAAATAAAGAAGTAATTTTGATAGACGATTTAAGCAAAAAATATGTTTTAAGCAAAAACATTATCAGTCAACTCGGATGAATTTTTTTGGTCTGGAATATTGTTTATAGAAATCAGGAGATCACCATTAATTATTGACCTATAGAACGTTGTGAAATGAATAAACTAATCGCTGTATATAAAACCAGCATATTTCACTATGGTATCAAATCTGAGAGATATATCGTTTTAAAATGAAGTTTTTCGAAGAAATCAAACACGGGAGCAACTATAGCGCGGTAATTTCTGTCAGAGATCTGCAGCAGAGGCTCCACAAATCCCTTCTTCATCTCAACATGACTATCCAGAACAAGTAAAGTGTCACCCCTAGCCTTTTTAGCTGCAAAGACCCTCGAAAAAATGAATCCTTTGTTAGTTTCAAACCTGAAATACCTGACTGTATGCGGAGGAATAGCAGCTAGGATGGTGTAGATAGAGCGGAGCAGAAGAGAGAGAACCTCATTATGATAGTTCAGGATGACGGAGACAGTGGTGTTGCTGGCGGGGTAGGTGATGTTCACACACTCAGGGGGTCGTAGTCTGGAATATACCGGAGTAGAGAGTCCACATAACTTTCATTGTACCCCTCTCTTGTATCAAAATAGGGCTTATCCAGTTTCTTGAACATAGCACTGTACTGGATGTTTGATTCCAGTTCTAAGCGTTCTCTATATGAGGCATCTGTTTCAAAATATAGTCTTGATTTCGGGGAAAGATTAGGAGTTAAAACATCGCTGCCTTGAACCCCCAAATTCTTGGTCTGATTGATGATAGTTTCATTTATAACTTGGGACCCAACCCCAGCTGGCGGCCAGCACATATAACCCTCCTCAGAAGCAGTGAAGCTGTAGCAATGAAGCTGTAGCATTCCCACACATAACAGCAGAGCTATACCAGTGTAGTAGAAAACAGGTCGAGTAACACATCTTCTTCTTTGGAGCTTCATTGCCTAAGAACTGTAGCAGTTACAAGGAAAATTTGACTTTAAGCTATAAAAGTATAAACGTTCTATTAGCGAGGAAAGCGCTTACAATCGATTATAATCGCTCATAAGCGCTTGTGAGTCGTTAATATGCCTAAAATAAAAAACCCGATTTTTTAGCGATTTATAAACGGCTAAATTGTAATCGATTATAAAGTTGTAAGCGCTTATAATCGCTTATAAATGGTTCGAAAAAAACGACTTATCTGGCCGACCTCTTTTCCACCGCTTATAATCCGCAATCCTACTTGAAAATCGCTTTTAGACAATTATAATCGCTTTCCCGTATTATTCCCGCGATTATAAATGTTTATAAGCAATTATTTTCGAACCTCTTATAATCATTAGAAAAAACGATTATAAGCGGTGTTTTTTAATAAACACTCTGAAGCGATCAGAAAATCTCATTAGTGGGAACCTGCCGGGGTTTTATATAATACATAACCGTACCGTAAGTTGTGGTCAGAATAGCTTAGTTGTAGTGAACGTATAACTAAGCAGAATAGACTCAATAGAGTGTTTAGTTAGGGTTTTACATTTACCGCCAGAACCATCCTTAAAACGTGTAAATGTTGTCACATGATGATCTAGTCACTATAGTGTATGTACTAAGAGCATCAACTTGCGGGTGAACATTTTATGTCTCAAAACCCAACATATTATACATCATTGGAAAGGTCTCATTGAGTAGAGTCGTTTGGTACCAAGTTTTGGGCAAATGGCTGTTCCTAGCGAAAGTTATAGCCCGTCAAAGTTCCAAAAATGACCATTTAAAAAATGGGGCGGGGCATCGTGTTCTTAAAGTTTTTGACGAATTTTTTTACAGCATATTGTTTATCACATTTTTTTACACAAGATTTGCTGTATGCCGTAATTTTTAATCCATTATTACAGTCACAATCAATTTATTTTGTCAACAGAGTTTGAAATATTTGAAGAGACAATTGATATTCCGCGTGGTTCGCGGCGCGCTTCTTTGTCTACAAATTGTTAAATTGCGCGTTACAATTCCGAGTAACGTAGCAGAAGACGTTTCCCTGAATTTTGTTGGGGATTTTTTAGGGGATTTGACACGGATTTCAAATCCCCTAAAAATAGTTTCGAATTGTCCCTGGGAGTGGCCTGAGTGGGTCAAGACGTCGAAAATTAGTTTCTCTGGTTGTTGGGGTCAGGTACTTCCTATCTAACCACCAAATCATGTTCCAAATACCCCGGAACATAAATCTCCTACAGGGGTAAAGATTCTCATTCTTGATTTGACCTGGATTTCAGTAATTTTGGGGTGGGCGAGGCCCCTGGGAGTGGCCTGAGTGAGTCAAGATGTCGAAACTCGGTCTTTCTGATGGTTTGGGACAGGTAATAACTATTAAACATCCTAAACATGTTCCAAATACCCCGGAACATAAAACCCATACAAGGGTAAAGATTCTCATTCTTGATTTGACCTGGATTTCAGTAATTTTGGGGTGGGCGTGGCCCCTGGGAGTGGCCTGAGTGGGTCAAGATGTCGAAACTCGGTTTTTCTAATTGTTAGGGACAAGTACTAATATAACCATTAAACCACCTGAAAATGTTCCAAATACCAGGGAACTCATACAAGTGTGAAATCCCCTACACAAATCAAGGAAACGTGCTCTCCCGAGCAGCGCACGAACAATGCCAGAGTGCATTCTCGGTTTTTGTGTCGAATGTGAATCATACCTTACAAGACATATTTATGTGGATCATAATTAGCGGGGATCGAAATTATGGGGGAACGAAAATATGGGGATTTTTTTCATAAATTCAGTAATTCAGTACGAAATTTCAGAAATTCAGTACGAAAATATGGGGATTTTTTCCAATTTTTTCCAAAAATCCCCGAATTTTGTACCATATAAATATGTCTCGACCTTTATTTTACTCTAAAGACATACTAGAAAATCCGTTGTCACAGGGAGGAAGCTAGAAATCAATTTTTATCGTATCATAAAATTTAAATCACAACCGAAGATACATGCTATTATTTCGTAGAACACTCTAAACTCAACAGTAAATGATTGAAATTTAGCTCCAAATTCTTAACACGTGCACGTGCAAGTCTCCGCCTGCTTTACTATGCACGGGAGTGGTTGTACACACAAACAGAAATCAAATACATTACATATTGTGTAGTTATTGACTACTGATAACACATTTATAAATATGGCGAAATATCAAAAATTATCAAAAATTTAAAACTTGTAAATTTGTCAAATTCATTAATTAGTCTCAACTGATATATAAAATAAAGTAAAACATCGCAGCAATAAATATAAGATGAAGACATTGACAGCTCTAATAATAGATCAGAAAAAGAAAAACGGCGTTATTTAATAAAAATCGAATCGAATAACTTAAACTACAGGTGCTAGGGCCCTTGTAAACAATCGTAATATCCTGTGAATTAAATCGATTGATTCTAATTGGTGTTCATCACTGATTAGAGGCAACAGAAGGATAAGCTAGTCAGCAGTAAATAGCAATGCATCAGTCAGCGAACGCCATCGATCGTAATGTGTCTTGCTCCAAGCTTTTAACACCTGAAATTATATGTTTTGAATAACAATTACACTTAAACAAAATAACGGAACTCAAAAAGCTATTACGTTACAATATCTTAATAAAATTCTGGGTAACTAATTTAATTAAAACCATACCAACATTGAACCTACGTCTTACAATGAGCGCTATAATTTTTAGAACATAACAGCTGATAACCACCTATAACAAGCATGAAGCACGTGATTAAAACCCACGATTAGGGTCGGGCAATCTATCACTATTACTGGTACCACTACCACTACCAGGTATGAGCGTAAGCTGCGTAACAAACTTAAGATGAAACAATTGATCTCTATGTAGCACTCTGCACTATATATGTATACGTATCACTATTTTGCCTAGTATTACTTATAAGATGGTGATAGAAAGTAAGCACTTATTTTCTAAATAAAATGGTATTTACTTTAAATATCAGGATGGCAATTACTAGCCTGGGCTGATCTTCGTGATAATATATACAGTAAAACCCCGACTTACAGTACAGTTTGGGAAAAGATAAATAGTGCGGTAAATCAGAGTTTTCACTTTTTGGTCCCCTTGGCCGTCGGATCACATGGTTTCTCTCCGCACAGAATTGGTTCCCAATTAGTGGTCATGGACTATGGTTCACAAGTACTCAAGTGAGGGGTACTAAAACTGTGTAGGTTCAATGCTATACAGTACGCTCTTTGACCAATATCAGAAACAAAACATTATTTACCGCCCCTTCTGTCACCAAGGATCGACCGGGACTGCTTTTTTGGCCGGGACTGGAAAGGAGTGCCGGAACCAGGTATACGCCGGGACCGGGATTCAGCCAGATTTGGGACCGGGATCATAGCTAAGAAAACCAGCACTTAACACTTACACTTAAATATGGTATCCGCAACTGATAAAAAGCACAAGCACAGCTTACCCAACAAATTGGCACTTGACTCTGACAGTGTTTTGTTTATTAATTGGTAAATAATTTTGCTTTAAACTTCAGTTTTTCAAAAAATCCGGGATTAAACCGGGATCCTGGTCGAACCTTGTCTATCACTCCCTGTCATCTCTTAGCTCTCTGACACCTTATTGCTTAATACTAAGATCCTAGCTTAACAATACGTAACACACTCATATGGAGTCATTATTCTAGCTCGACGGTACTGTAAAACCACTAATTGGGAACCAATTCTATGAGAGAAATCATGTGATCCGACGGGGACTAAAAAGTGAAAACTTTGATTTACTACATTTCTTACATGTGCATCTCTTATTGCTATAATTCGACGACTTATCTGCTACTTTGTGTCCGGTGCTATACAATTGTGAGTACGTTATGGAAGATGTGTACTTAGACTCTCTAATGTAGTCAAGTAAACATTTCGACCAGCTTTCAGATGCTTCTAATGATCTTGGTATTTGGGTTGAGGTAATGAAGACAATAAACTTTGATGAAGATAGTGATATCACATTCGAGAAGTTCAAGAAACCAAACAAGGACGTTCTAGTAAAGCACCTTTTTGATGCGTTTTAGGGTATTGTCTAATATCAGCGTATTCTCCACGAATAAAAAGATAGAGGAAATGAAAAGTGAAATCATCAGTGCTCAGAAATCAGCAAAAAATGCAGAGGAAACCCTTCCCCCAGCTCTGTCTCCACTTTCACGGCAGAAAACTTGAAGAAAGTAGTTTGGAATGATTGCAGAAATGTCTTCATTTTTAGTCTCAAGGAGGATACAGGAGAGAAACTTGGCGATCAAATTTGTGATGTGTTTGAACAAATTGCAGAAAAGCCAAGCTTCGAAGCTGCTCAAATTGGGAATATGTCAGCTGAAAAACCCAGAGCTGTCAAAGTATCATTTTGAAACTCTAGCACCGTTCATCAGATACTGATCGAAGCTAAAGAACTCAGACTGTCTCAGTGTTTCAAAAGTAAATGACCAAATCAACTATTTGAAGGAGGAAACGAATATAGAGCACTTATTTCTAAAATTCTAAAGGTATATTGTCACTAGTGAGATTGTATAGGGTTGTACACTCCCTCTTTTTCTCTATTGTCACCATAAATTGAGAACGTTTTGAGTTAGGAACTCCAAAATTTCCAGACACATTTGGACTTGTTTTGATAATTGAAGTGCTTTCCTATAACTTCAAGTTCGTTGTTTACAACTAAGCCGAGTTATGACCATTTTAAGATCTGGCACGGATACATGATCCTGGCACTTAATCTGTGATTTCTTCACTCAATCAATGGCACTCAATCAGTGATTTCGAATGATTTAGTTTCAAATTATTATTCAATTAAGTAACTTTTGGTGATCAATCCAGTGATCAAAACCAAATTGCCCAATCTTGCCTAAAAACGATGTTTAAATGTTGCATTGAAAATATCCACTTGCTAAAGTCACAATGATAAGAATTGGCTGTAAATAAACTGGTAAGTAGATGAGCATAACAGTGGAGTTCCCACCTACGAGTGGTAAACTGAGAGGTGGCGCGCCTGAGAGGTGGCGCGGTGTATGCAGAGTATGATAATGTCAGCCTTGCGGCGCAGCTGACATTAGCTTTCATTACGTTTGAATTATCGCGTCCGCGGTAAGGCTGACATTATCATACTCTGCATACACCGCGCCACCTCTCAGGCGCGCCACCTCTCAGCCAACACTCGTAAGTGGGAACTCCACTGTAATGAACTTAACAGGCATCAACCATCCTTAATGTTAACTAACAATAAACAAGTGTGTTTGTACAACGCAGTTTTAGGTATTTAATGGGTTTTCATCAGTAATAATTCTTGCTTGAAAATTACAGTCAGTTGGTGGTACTGTTAAATAGTTGTAAAATGGTAATGGTAAATATGACTGTCATTTCTCTCCACAATCGCTTGGTAAGAGGTTATCTTTTATTATAAAGGCTGAGCTAAAGCAGTCATAAGTATACTAAGATAAAAAAGGTCACATCAAGCTTGAACAAAGTACTTACATATTTCAGCCCATAGGATCGGTTGTTAATTATTATATCAGCATACAATAATGTTTGTCCGGAAAGCATCTCGTCCCAAAGGAAATTCTGGTTCAGCTAGAAATAATGATATTTGAAGTTCATATTTTAAATTCAAATATACTTTAATTAGAATAAACAATATACATCAAGTTAGGTCTGTTTCTACACCAGGAAAATAGATTAATTGAAAAAATTGCTTCAAAACCTTCAAATACCTGCATTTCAAGAAATAATAACGAAACAGGTCTTCGAGTTCGATATTACAGCTTAACTAAGATAATCAAACTAAGTGGGACACACCAGCATTACAAAGCAGCTGTTTTTTGGCAAATGTGATTATAGGCCATTATTGAAGGCAGATATCTAGAGCTTGGAATGCATTTCGGGCATCAAAGAATGTGCACCTGTGTACCAAGGAAATTGCACGATTTGATTGGAAGTACATATATTTTTTCTAACACAGAATACTGTCCGTTATTGTTTATACAAGGCTTGAATGGGTTAATTGTAATTTCGGTATGAAGCATGATTGAAATTATTATTATATTAAGAAACTGTTTACACCATTAAAATATTCAAAACCCCTAAAAGAAATCAAGTCATCCTAAAATGGTGATCAGTACAGATCAGGACAGCTAGAGTTAAAATTTGTTTCTCCAAGCAACTCTATCATCAGCTAATATCTTAAGCTTATTAAGATCATTCAAAGAGTTAAGTTTTAAACCTCTACGGGTCAAATCATTCACAATAATCTTGAACAAATTCTTACGATGCGCACCAACGCGCCCTTTACAGTTTGTTGTGACAGCAAACTTTAACGCTAATGCAGCGGGGGAGTCATCAGCACTACGCAAGATATGACCTAGGAGCTTCCACCTTGCTTTAGGGACACGATCTGATAGCTTTACTGAGTTACATCTTAGGTATAAGTTTGCATTAGATATTGTTCCATGAGGCCAATAAATGTTCAGTAATGATCTAAGGTGTTTTCTATGGCAAATGTCTAGTTTTTCTAGTGACTTTGCAGTAGGACACCAACTACTGCAATTGTACATGATGATTGATACAATTTGGGCTTCGTATACTGCTATCTTTCTGGTAACGGAGATATTCTGCTGAGACCAGATCTTGGTGAACTTATAGAAGGCATTGTTCCCAGCAATGCATCGAGCAGCTATATCACTTTCACTACACAACAATGACCCAAGAATCTTACTCTTCCGCCAATCTTCATTTCCACGTAACATGGTATCATCACGACCAGGGATTGTTTCTCCAACAGGAGCGAGGAAAACATGGGTAAATTCTGTTTTCTCTGTGTTAATGAACAGGTTAAACTCCTTGAAGACTTCCTTGGCTATTGGTAGGATAGCTTCTAAGGATTCTTTTTCCACGTTCATGAAGTTACAATCATCTGAATACGCTGACTCCAGTGGCATACCTTCTTTTGAAACAGGGGGATTGGGTATGTGTGGGGGAGATTCTGCTAGTCGATGGCGTAGTTCTATAAGAGCTCCTGCAAGGACAAGAGTGAAAAGCTTGCCGGAGAGACTGTCACCTTGAAAGGATCCAAGAAGACTCTCGAATACAGCAGATAGTTCTCCTTCCACTCTGACCTTGAGCATGGTGTTGGTTAAGAGGAGTCTTACTAGCCTGAGGTCGTCGTCTGTGCATCCAGCTTTGACAAGAAGGTCAAGTATTGTCTGGCGTTTGATTGTGTCAAATGCTCGAGACATATCTATGCCCATCTTGTGATACTGGAAGTGTTTACGCGTGACAACCGATATCAACATCCGCTCAGCCCACACTAGATCACCACAACTCCTACCATGTTTGTACCCCGCCTGCGTGCTACCAGTGAAAGCATCAACTTTGTCTTCGATTCTCTTCAGTACAATCATGGATAATATCTTACGAGCACCATTTGATAGACATAGAGGTCGTAGACTAGTGACAGGACCGGCTGGTTTGCGAGGTTTCGGCAAGGGGGTGATGATGGCTTCACCTATAACATCAGGAAATGAATTGGTCTCCAATGCGTTATTGATGATCTCGGCATATTTTGACCAGAATTTTGTACCAGCATTTTTCAACCACTCGTTGTAGACTTTATCTGGACCAGTGGCTTTGTTGTTCTTGAGAGATTGGGCGGCTTTCTTTACTTCATCACATGTGATGGGTATGTCTAGGCAGCGTCCATCCCCTATAAATGCTTGAAGTGGTTCATCCTCACACGTGAACTGCTTTTCGTAGTAGTCTCTGATCACTTGAGCTTTACCAGCATCTGTGGCAACAAAGTTACCTTCTTCATTGTGGACACTGATAGTAGATTTGGGCTTAGTGTCAGCTAGAGTACGCACAGCTTCAAACATCTGCCTTGTGTCATCTGTTGACATGATGGTTCGAGCGATGTTATCGGCACGTGTGTCAGCAAGGTTCTTGAGATGCTTACGGATGTCTTTCTGTAACCTGTTGATCCTTGTACGGACTTGAGTTCTGTCGGCAGCTTGGTTGTTACAGTTAAGTGCAGCTTGCAGGGTTTGTCTCTCTTTTACAAGGGCTTCAACAGTAGAGTCACTACTGAAGTTACGGTTTCTGGAGCGTGGTAGGGTCCCGATTACTTCATCAGCAGTTGTTTTGAGGACATCCATCAGGTTAGTGAGATCATCATTAGGGTTTGATGTTACCTGAGAGTTGTTGACTTTCTGTTCGACTGAAAGTTGGTATTTGACTTTGGTGGGAAGGTCAGTGGTGAGCAGGGAATTGTTGTATCTCTTAACTACTGAACTTATCTTTTTTGTAGGAAAGATTTTGTAGTAGGGGGCTAGTTTGATCTTACAAGCAACGAGTCTGTGGTCTGAGTTAGTAGTAAGACCGCCATATGATCTACAATCTTGGAACATGAATCTGCTGCGTGTTCTGCACAGAATATAATCTAATTGGGCAAAGACTGGACGAGTAAGTTTGCTGCCTTTAGGGCGACCTTTGGCAGAAATACACATAGAGAAAGTAGTTCGATGTCTACAAGGATGATCAAAATAGGTATTGGTAGCAAACAGTTTGTTTAAGCACATGAAGTTTAATAAATGTTCACCATTGAAGTTCCTTGTACCCATTCCAAACTTGCCCATATACTCTGTTACACCATACTGATAGTCCAAAGGAGATAAGGTTCCTAACTTACTGTTGAGATCGCCACAAACAAACAATTCATGAGATGCAGGAACTGAAATAGCATGGGTGAGTTCTCTGTAGAACTTTCTAAGAAGGGCAGGGTTTCCTTCTGCTTTAGGATTAGTCGGGCCATAACCGTTAACAATTCTGATATTTTTAGGATGGGATGAGAGATTAGAAGGAATGACGACATTAAGATAGGAAACCCGGTCTGAGGTATACTGATAGTCTGTGACATAAGGTAGTAATCTAGGACTTATGATGAAACCTAGTCCACCATGTCGTCCTTGATTTTGCTCCATCATGATCAATTTGTAATTGTTTCTGAGATATCTAGTGGAATGATTTTTGACTTTTGTCTCTTGAACGCACAAGATATCAACACTATATTCAAAACAATCCGTTCCGAGTTCTTCCTGTTTCTCCGTCTTAGAGAGCCCTTTTGCATTCAGTGAAGCTAGGCTCAGTAAGGAAGTAGAAGAAAACTTTGAACTCATAACTGTCTCTTTCTGCTTTAACGTCTGCTTCGTCACACCAGTTTTCGCTGATGCTTGTGTCACGCGTCACCGTGTCATGATTGAAATGATCTGATAAAAGTGTAAAACGTTCAAATCCTGTCCAGAACTAAACGAGTGTAACAAGGGATTTAATTTAGCAACATCCTGATCCACTAAGCTATTCTATACTAGAACAAGTTTCTAGTAGTCTCCAGCAAATCGCAGCCAAAACGCAGTAACACTAACTCAGTTATATTAAATACCCTCTCAAGATCATTTAGTAACATCTGCATTACAATGTGCAACAAAACAACTACTATCAAACTAAATATATGGTGTGTGCATTGAGGCTCTCTGCTAATTGCTATGAGCGGCAACAAAAAGAAATTCGACCGAAAAGTATCAGCGCATATTTGATATGAGAATGAAAATGGCGCAACAAAAAATTTGGTTAAATCTCCTTATTGCGATTTCTAACTGCGCGGCGTAGCGCGTACTTTGAAATCCAAATAAAAATTATTTTTGATTCAAATATCGAAAAATAAAATTACGGCATACAGCAAATCTTGTGTAAAAAAATGTGATTAACAATATTCTGTAAAAAAATTTCGTAAAAAAATTTAAGAACACGATGCCCCGCCCCATTTTTTAAATGGTCATTTTTGGAACTTTGACGGGCTATAACTTTCGTTAGGAACAGCCATTTGCCCAAAACTTGGTACCAAACGACTCTACTCAATGAGACCTTTCCAATGATGTATAATATGTTGGGTTTTGAGACATAAAATGTTCACCCGCAAGTTGATGCTCTTAGTACATACACTACTAGTGTAGAATGATTTATCGTAATCCGTATTGCATCGTCGTTGTATTGTGATAACTATATTTAGAGTCAAAAGTTGTTTATGACGTAACATCAAAAACATGCGAAACATGCTGCAACAAAAATGTACCTAGTAATTTCATTATTAATGCATTTTATCAGATGGCAAATTATACTTATATCAATACTTGAAAAAGAACAAAAGAGGGCGAAACTTGGAAAATTAATTACTCCTCAAGCTGGATCGCTATTCCTGAACCTCATTGAAATTGAGGCTTTTAAGTTAAACATTTGGCTTTAGACAATGTAATTTGCAGTTATACACTTATTATACAGACACACAGTGTTGTTCCTCCGCCCTGTGGACCACATAGAGGCTAGCTCATATAACATCTGAACTGCTGTTATTTAAAACATATGGTGCGAAGCTCAAACTAACAGTTGTACTGAAGGTTTAGTTTGGAGATCACTTCTAGTAAATGTTTAGAACATTAAGTTTCGTAGTTTAATAGCTTTATGTAGCTTTATAAGAATCAGCATTATCCGAATACCTTGTTAACATTAAGTTGAACCTGTTTCAAATTTTGTAACCACATTCGCTTGTTTTCTATTTTCTGGGTTACTAACATCACTTTTTAAAAGCTTGTTTCTGCCTGATGTCAGATGTAAACAAATCGAAAAGCTCTTCAAATAAACACTGACATTTAGTTTTGTACATTCCTTGACTTGTTAGTGAAATGGAGCAGAAAAATGTTCCAGACGTTAAAGATGAGATGAAGATGGAAGAAGAAAGTTTTCCACCAGAATTGATCAAGACAGAGATTAAGAAGGAGGAAGATAATTTTCTTATTAAATCAGAAGTGTATTCGAATGCAGTTTCTCAGTTGGATTGTCCCAACCAGGAGTCAGCAATAGCTCGCCACCAGTGGGTTAATACCAGTGAAAATGCTTACATTCGCTCCGAATTTTCCTACAATGCAAACCAAAAAACAGCTTTAGTTTCACATCAGCAAACTCATACCGGTGAAAAACCGTACAAATGCTCTGAATGTTCCTTCAGTTCAAGTCAAAAATCAACACTGGTTTGGCATCAGCGGACTCATACCGGTGAAAATCAAAAACCATATAAATGTTCCGAATGTTCCTTTAGTACTGGCTGGAAATCAACCCTGGTTCGACATCAGATGACTCATACCGTTGAAAAACCATATAAATGCTCTGAATGTTCCTACAGTTCAAGCCGAAAATCAAACCTAAGTAAACATCAGATTACTCATACCGGTGAAAAACCGTATAAATGCTCCGAATGTTCCTACAGTTCAAGCCAAAAATCAAACCTGCTTAGTCATCAGATGACTCATACCGTCGAAAAACCGTATAAATGCGCTGAATGTTCCTTTAGTACTGGCTGGAAATCAACCCTGGTTCGCCATTATATGACTCATACCGGTGAAAAACCATATAAATACTCTGAATGTTCCTTTAGTACTGGCTGGAAATCAACTCTGGTTCGCCATTATATGACTCATACCGGTAAAAAACCATATAAATGCACCGAATGTTCCTACAGTTCAAGCCTAAAATCAGACCTAGTTAATCATCGGATGACTCATAACGGTGAAAGACCGTATAAATGCTCTGAATGTTCCTACAGTTCAATCAAAAATTCACTCCTAGTTCGCCATCAAATGACTCATACTGGCGAAAAACTGTATCAGCGGAATAACTCAAATTTTTTTCATGAAAGCGTTCAGGCTTCGACTTTCTTTCAAAAAGATAGTGTTCGAGGACCCATTTTTGTTAAGCCTCTACCTTTCGTGAAGCCTCTTACATTTGTAAAGCCTCTGTACTTCGATGACCCCTTTCTTTCCAGTTCCAGCTTACCTCCAAGTTCCTTCTCCATTTGCCAACCTGAACCAGCATCACACAAGTTTCACCCTGCAGCTCCTCTCACCTTCTCACCTGGTGAATCTGTTCTCACACCTGCTACCACTGTCCCACCTACCTTATACTCTACAACATGAAGTTTCTGGTTCAAATCAAATATCAATTAGCACAATGCTGACTTAAATCGTTAATAAATCCTAGTAGTTTTACTATAACAATGTACATTGGGGGGATTTGTGACAAAGTATAAATTAAACTGTCTGGTTCTATAAAGTTAAGTAATTATAATCAATAATCAGGGAATATTACAAAATCTATATTAATGTTATTAGAAGTTAGTATAATATTTTATACGTTAATATTTTTGTTTTATTAAGTTTTCGAGCAGGAATCCGTATAACCCTAAAATGGTGTCAGGACTCAAGAGACTAAAATAATTATAGAAAATCAACAATAAACTATTACAGGTTAGATGTTTACCTGAGTTCTATATCTTTCGATAGCAACTTCATCTATAAATCTGATAAGCAAGTCATTCTGTATTCCACCAGTACTTGTGATCCTGGTTGCAGCTTTCAACATGTTTTATGGGCCCAACACTCAGCATTCACAGTTTATGACTTCTGGCCTCCTTGCGATGTCGTAGCAGGTAGACCATTTCTTGTTGTCGCGGGCTAACCAGATTGTATAGGAACATCGAAGAGCGACCAAAGCAGCCTCATTCAGGGCTTTATTCTTCGTTCTCTTCGCCAATCCAAAGTAGTTGAATAGAGCTGGTACAGTATGGTGCCAGAAGCCCCTACACCCAATCTCTACCGTAAAGAGCAGAGCTTTCCAACCGCACCCGTCGATGCCAGGAATCAGCTCTCTGTTTTAGAGTGCTTCTTGGTCACTGAAGTTACTCTCGTCACCACAAGTCAGTTCAATCAGAACTACTTCTCTCAAACTATCCGACCATACTACAATGTCGGGTCTCTCCGCTGTGTTGTAGATGTGCTGTGGGAACTGGGCAGGTAGTGTATCCTCGTCCCATATCAGCTTCCAGTCTTTCGCTCTCTCAAAGGGCCTCTCCTTCCTCAACTTTGGCTTTGGGTGGTCATACTTCCCATCCTTCGACTTGAACCGTATCCATTCTTTGTCGGAGGTCGTGGAACGTGAGGAATTGTACATCTTGAGTTGGTCAAGCAAGGCTCCGGCTATAACACGTACGACGTTGTCATGTCTCCAGTTGTACCTTTTGGAGTTTCTTGCTACACTGCAGACGGCTAGGATGTGCTTGATGTTGCACGTCTTCCAACCACAAAGTGTACAATTTCCTGTACTCGAGTAGTTCCACAATATCATGTTTGCAGGGGTATTAGCCACGTCGTGTGTCGAGTTTAGGCGGAATTTAAGGAGAGCCGGGCTCATCTTGTAGTTGTAGATAAGGCAGTTCCATCCTAAGTCTAACTGCATCGTGTTCTCCCATGTCAAGAACTTGCCCTGTACTCCCTTGTTTACCAGGGTGACTAGCATGTCGTTCTCTGACACCGATTTTACCAGTTGTCTTAGCTTCTGCCTTTCAGTCAACTTTGGTTTGCATCCGAGTCCTACTCGGTCTTTAGTCACTACTCCAAACAATTCCTGGAAGTAAAGATCTCGCTCTCTTGCCGTCAGCTCCGTTGTATAAGACCATCTCGGGCTGTTCTCTTGTTTCTCTTTCTTGTTATTATAGGCTTCTACAACTTTGGTGTCATCACTGTTCTTCAGGGCGTGTCCTTTTGATACCTGAAGAGACTTGTATAAGTCACTCAACTTCTTCAAGTTTAGCCCAAAGTAATCCTTGCTCCTGTACAGGACTGTCACAGTAATTGACACCCAACCACTTCTTCAAGAATCTGGTGCAGATAGCATCAAGTTCGTACACAAAACTTACAGGAAGGTTGTAAATCATCAGATCCCAGGACATCTTGCTAGTCAGCATGTTATTGTAGATCGAACACTTCATGACACCGTTGAGACCACACTCATCCACTGTCTGAAACAGAGTCTTTAGTTTGTCTTCAATCTGTTGTTTAGTGTCATTTAACCCTAGATCGACATAGATCCAGTGGCCCAGGAACTTAATCGGGTTGTTTCCTACATAGCTGATTATCTGGCCGTCAATCAATATCTCTGGGTCATAAGCCTGGTACGTACCATCTATCACCTTCATTCCCAAGGAGACACACTTGCTAGGCTCGGCCTTCATTTTCCTACTCCAATCCAAAAACTGCTCCATCAACTTTATCTGCTTGTTTACCTTCTCTAGTCTGGAGGACATAAGTGTTAGGTCATCTGCAAAAGCCCGATTCGATGTAGGTTGCGAGCTAAAGGAGGGCTTATAACCCAGTTCTTTTTGATCTTGTAGAAGATCTGACAGTAAGTTGAATACAATCAGGAACAACACTACTGAAAGAGGGTCTCCTTGAAAGAGGCCTAACATGTAGTAGAACCAATTTGACTTCCAGTCTTTGGTTACCACCCTTACAATCAGTTCATCATAGTACTTTAAGGGGAGATACACCAAAAACGTTTTTGCTCCGAACATCGATTTTATTTTATATTATGGTTAAATAGACAAAAAAAATAAGATTGCACACCTTCAAAATTTTCTAAAAATATTCCCTCATCGAGAAAAAAAATATTTTTCTTTTTCGAAAATTTTTAAAATTTTGAGAAGTCTGTCACTGTAATACCGATAGTTCGGCCATTTAAAAAGTTTTGTGGCTGATTTTTTTACTGAACATTACTTACAATCCGTACAAAAAGCCATTGAAAGGATTATATAATTGAACGATAAATGACGAAGTTACAGACCAAACAAGGTCTAAAAGATTCGTCTTACCAAGCTGATTACGATTCTGTAAAAATTATTTCAAAAAAACTGATACTTTTTGAGTTACGGCATTTTAAGGCATTTTAAGCCTTAAATCTGTCTTTTTTGCCCTTTTTTTCGATGAATTTTACTAAGTCGTTTGAGGCCACATTGCATAGCTTAAAACTTAATCTGAGAGAAATCCTACTCCAAAAAGTTTGATATGATCATCAGCTACACTCACAAGAATTTTTGAAGCGATATCTGCTGACCCGGGTGATTGGTGAAATGTAAAACTTTAGAAGTGGGAAAAATTTAAATTTTTATTTTTTCGACCTTGTTTGGTCTGTAACTTCGTCATTTATCGTTCAATTATATAATCCTTTCAATGGCTTTTTGTACGGATTGTAAGTAATGTTCAGTAAAAAAATCAGCCACAAAACTTTTTAAATGGCCGAACTATGGGTATTACAGTGACAGACTTCTCAAAATTTTAAAAACTTTCGAAAAAGAAAAATATTTTTTTTCTCGATGAGGGAATATTTTTAGAAAATTTTGAAGGTGTGCAATCTTATTTTTTTTGTCTATTTAACCATAATATAAAATAAAATCGATGTTCGGAGCAAAAACGTTTTTGGTGTATCTCCCCTTAAACATGTAATCTATGAGCCATTCAGGGAATTTGTAATGCCGGAGGGCATAGAGGATCAAGTTGTGTGGGACTCTGCCATATGCATTCATTAAATCTACCCAGACAACGAATATCTGACGTCTAGTAGATTTGGCGTCTTTTAGCTCTTCCATAAGCACTTGGGTGTGTTCAAGACAACCAGGAGTCTTCTTCAGAAAGCCCTTATGAACTGACTTGTCTATGTACTTATTAGACACCATATAATCCAGCATCTTGTCTGCTAGAATTCCCATGTTCAACTTGCCGCTGGTGTTCGTTTTTGTAATATTCCTGAACTTGCTTGGGTCTGACAGATCCTCAGTCGCCATTGTAGTGGCACTATCTTCTTGTCCCACAGGGTAGATAGGGTTTGGAAGATCATGTGTGCGGTTCTCGGGCATCTCTTATACACCACATATGGTACACCGTTTGGACCAGGGGATGACTTATTACGCCTGCTCTTCAGCTTTGCATCGAAATCTTCTCTATCCAGCTTTGTCAGCTCGAACTTAACTACTGGGGGCTTGGCCTCAGGAAGACCTTCCAACTTAGTGTAGATTGCACCTCTGTCCGTGTCCTTATACTCCTTCTTGAAGAACCTGTCTGCTTCTTCCTTAGAGAAGCTTGGCGGTGCGTTGTTCTGCTTACCATTAAGTAGCTTCTTGCTGTAGTCATACGGGTTCTTCTTAAACGTATCCTGCTCTTTCTTCTCGAGCTTGCCCCTCTTCTTCTTGAGCTCATTGCATCGACTTTTGTTGTGGAGCCGCACCAGCCGGAGGTACTCTCTTTTCGCTGTGGCTGTAGCGTTAGTGTCATTACTTCTCTTTGCCGACCTCATATCTTTCTTTGCTATCCTCTTAGAAACTCTAATCGCCTTAGTCTCCCTGTCCTCTCTCTGCTGTTTCTGTTCGAATATCTTCTTCTCTTCCCCAAATCTATATTCCAGGTAGCTGTAGATTCTCCCTTCAGTCTTTTGAAGCCTGATCGCCTCATCCTTCTCTACGATCTCGTGACAAAGCATAACCAAATCTTCATCTATTCCCTTCCATATTCCTCTCTCTGCTGCTTGTGGTAATTTAAGCTTCTTTGTAACCTCAATCTCGATGTTGGGCGGTTCATGATCTATGAACTGAAAACGCAAGTCTGAGCAGGCAGGTTCCTCTGTAGCTCTGTGGTTGTGTTCCTGGCTAGGTTCCTGCTCCGACATAGTATTACGGATATCATCTATCGGATGTCGTTGTAACAAGATTAAACAAGTTATTATCAATATCAGAAATGATATGCAATTGGCATATCCTACCAAACCCCTTGAGCGCGATTACAAGTGTGAGACACAGTTGTTCCCATTTTGTCATGCAAGTCTGAGTACCAAAGCACAATAGTTCCCGATTCAGGGCACAATTGTACCTTTTTAACATGCAGGCGCACTTAATCACTGGTTAGTTCCAATTAAGCGACACAGCAGTTCCCGATTCAGGGCACAATAGTACCCTGATTCGTATGCAAGCATATTTTATCACTTGATCGTTTTTACTTGACAGTAAGACAGCAGTCTGCTGTCTGCACAATAGTTGACTCGGAGCCAAAACTGGATCATAATAATAAAATGTGATAAAGAACGATACCAGATACTAGAGCTACTGTTCGTAACAAGGTTCGGTTTTCCTCTATACTACATATGCTGCGTTTATAGCCTGGGCCCGGAGGGATACACAGTTTTGGACTTTATGCTTCCCCTGGTAATGCGATCTCGGAAGGCATTAGGCAGGCCCCCCTCCCCCCTTTGCAACACGAGAGGTACGTATCGAGAATGCCTCGGACCGCAAATTTTCTAAGTCAACATTTTTTCAAAGTTTTTCTGAAAACCACTCTTCTCCACGTTTTATGCTACCCGGCCCTGTTCATTATTAGCCGAAATTATTTTTGGTTTTTCAAACTCCGTACCTAGTGAAACAAAGCACAATAGTTCCCGATTCAGGGCACAATTGTACCTTTATAACATGCATGTGCACTTCACTCGATTTGTTTGCCAGTCTGTCAATCTAACTATTCAATGATGAACCTCTCATCATTAGGGCAGTGTTTTATATCAACAGTGTAATTTTAATAATTTTAATGTGGTGCCGTCACAAGTTTACTCTTTCTTACTGCATTTTGTTAGCTTTGTTATTTTGACTAATTAGATCGTGGTAGCGTCTTGCTAAATGTAATTTGCACCGTAATTATAAAGTTTCCGCAAAAGAAGATCGGGAATCTTTGTCAGTCCTTCAGATCGTTGATCTCGAGCAGAATAAATTCAATTATAATATAAAGCAGATCAAGGTCACCGCAATTTATAGAGGACCGGAATTTTTCAAATAACTCCGCAACTCAAAAGTTCTTAACTTTCGTCTGATGACGAAATTGTTGCGCGTATATAAAACCAAGTACATATTTGGAGGAGAGCTTACATATGAACAGTCACTATACTGGCAAACAGCAGTGACTGATCTTTAAGCTATTAAGCAACATCACACTGTTTTATTTGTCACAACATTTCTACACGTATAAGGTAGTTTTTAATTTCTAATCAGGAGAAATGTTATGTCTTAAATGCTGCTTTACTCATTTTCAGACGCATTTATTCGGATTATAATAGTTTGCGACCACGCTTACGAATTTTACGTTCATATTTAATTATATTTACCTTGTAAGATTTCATATTTAAATTAATATTTATTTTCCTGTAATTCATTCTATTGTTTACAAACTAGGAGCCAACTGGGAGCCGATCGGACATTTGGTTCGTTCACTGATCCAGTCTGCTTTCATTTTCAATATCTTGCTCTGTCGAACTTGTTTATTGAACAATCAGGAGTCATTTATAAGATTGTTAAAAAATAAGCTGTCACAATTATATTGACAAGAATATGAAATTTCGGGTGACCGACAACTGAACCCAATTGAACCTAGTTCCCACGCAGTTAACAGAGTAACAGGCAACCGATCAGCTTAATTGGGTGACCAATCAGCTTAAATCCCAAAACGACAACTGAACCCAGGTCATATCACAACTGCACCTAAATTGAAAATACGACAGCTGAACCCAACGATCGGATTTTCAGGGTCTCATTCTTCGCAGGGCCGGGACTGTGGTCATTATCACTATAGGATAGATCATGACCACTGTTATTTAGAGCATTGGAGCCCTATTAATTACCCCGGTAAAATATTAATACATACATGCTACATGAAGACTGAAGAGGTCTCCTCCTAGTCTGCAGTCGTTGGAGTGGCCTGCATCACACATCTTTTACGGTGTAGAATGTTCCTCCATTCCACTCGTTTTAGTGCTAACTGTTTTACTGCGTCTCTGCTGATGTTATCGACACCTGTCAGGCGTCAGCCGCATCCTCGAGTACACAGGCCATCTAGCCTTTACGGGGTCGTCCTCTCAGACTCTTTCCATAGTTTGGTTTCCAATCCAGTAAAAAATTGGGAAACTGTGTCTCTGGCATTCTGATAACGTGTCCGTACCACCTTAGTTTAGCCGAACCAATAAACGTTTCATGAACTTCTTTATTGGAGACATCAGACCTGGAATAACCACTTTATCTTTAAGATTCTTCTCAGGGAGGTCAGATGGAAGACCTCGAACCGTTCTATTTGCTTTTTTGTTGTGTTCCAGACTTCAGTTGTGAAAGCGTTTTAAGCTAGGAACTCCAAAGTTTCTAAAAAAAGTTGGTTTGATAATTGAATTGGCTTCCCCAAAATCCCCATACACAATTTTGGACTCGAGACTTCCCGGCCCCTGGTAATGCAATCTCGGAAGGCAGGCCTCCCCTTTGCAACACAAGCTCGGAAGCAAAAGCTCTCGATACGGGAGGTACGTATCGAGACTGACTCCAACCGAAAATTTTCGACGTCAAATTTTTCTGAAAACCACTTTTCTCCACGTTTCATGCTACCTTGTTCATTACTACTACTAGCCGAAAATATTTTTTCGGTTTTTCGAAATCCGTCAACCTTTTTTGAAACCGGAGCCGGATATTGAAGCCGGATATCCGACCGGATCCGGATTCAACCGGATATCCGGTCGATTCCTAATGCTGACAGCAGTGGAATAACGAGCATGGCTGGACGGTTAGGATTTCCCTACCGGCCCCTCATTACGTCACCAGAATTAGAAATATAAGAATGGAGTTCATTGCGAAAGCTCAGATAGGATGAGCTTTCGCTCCATTTTTATATTTCTGGTCACGGAAATCCTGTGATTTCATCACGAGTCTGTTTACTTTGTAAATGAAACATAAGAAGTGTGAAACACATTGCTTGTGCTTGATATTCGATCCACTTTTATTTCAGTACCAACGCATCAAGTTCCGCCAAACGAGTTACACGCTGTCCACGTTTCTGTTTATCAAATTACGGACCACAGAAATATTCCGTGTTGGTCTCTTTATATCATTCACACGTAATTGCGTGCCAGAGTGTTTGTTTGCTTTCAAAGTAATTGTGTGACTGTGTTTGTGTTGCTAATTGCTTTGTGTAATCCGAACATTACCCTGTCATTTAAATCGATTTTTATTTCTGCATTCTTTTAACTGTTGCGCTATAATTTATTAATTGCTAACGTTAGTTATAAAACTCTGAGTTTGATTATACAGGGTGGCCCAAAAGTGATTACCCACACGCAACCTCTTAATAACTCACGTAATTCGTCTCCAAATTGCAACTGTATTAATTTCCGCATTTTAAAAAATGTTTCATTATAATTACTATCGTAAGTTGTTATATTCACAGGGAATTATTTAAGTTATCCCTTAATTCAAATCGAATTCCTGAATTGTTTACGGGCTGAGTTATATAGATTTCTTTTACCTTTTGTATCGATAGTTGAAATCCATATTCGGTTTAACTTATAATTTTATTTTAAGCCTTAAAAGAATCAGTCCTGGTAAAAAATGGGGTCGCGTGGCGAAGCAACGAATCTTGATTATGAAAAAGATTGTGAAAGAGATTATGAACTACGAGTACTTCTTGAAGAAGTTCATGAGGTTCCTATAAAGGTTTGTGAAAGGACTGAACTAATATATTCCGATTTAGATCTCGAGGATATATCGTATCCTGCGAGTGTCCTTTCTTCTGTCGACAACATTACAACATTTCCACAGTATACATATCATGAGGAAGACAGTAAGTATTTCGTAGCTGTTCTTGAGGGTCACCGTCATAGGGACACTCATTTAAGACTGGAACATTTGCGCGAACAATTCGGTTACTCTACAGATGAGGTTAACGAAACACAAGATGAAATGGGCCCTCTCCAACTAGCTGCTGCTTTAGGAGACGTAGACATTGTGAAGGAGCTGTGTAACTACACACGTATTGATCTAGTACAGCAGGATGATGATGACGATACGCCGCTCCATGTTGCTGCTTTTTTTGATCATGATAGCACGATTGAATTTATCTTGAACAAAGCTAAGGATCCAGATAAGGTGAAACTTGCTATAAATAGAAAAAACAAAGCCGATGAGACCCCATTTACTATCGCTGTAACACGCTATCATGAAAAATCATGTGCTATGATGATCAGTTACAGTCCTTCTCTTGCGTACACATTTAATTTTGTTCACCCCACGCAGGGTGTGGAAGAAATAAAAGACAGTGGAATATTTGGAAAATTGCGAACGAAAGAGGCAGTGAAACATTTTGAGAAAATGAATGAACACATTATTAAGTATCACCAGCGGAACGATCAAGGCAAAACTTCTATCAATATCATGATAACTAAAATGCCAGAGTTGGTATTGGAAGTCCTGGATAAATCGATAATCACAGCTAAAACTCGTGATACCCTCAATCATATTGAAAAACGCAAAGGTTTACAAAAGAACTCTAAGCATGAAGACATTCATCGAGTCATCGTTGACTTCGGAGCATTGGAAAACTACGGCGAAGAGGAAAAGGATGAGAAAAAGGACACGAAAAACTCCGAAGTATTGGAAAAGAAAGATGAAAAGTACCTTTTTGTGACTGTCAATGTGGAAATCGAGAAGATCGAAAAGAAGACGAAGAAGGAGGAGGAGAGGGACAAGAAGGAGGAGGAGGAAACAGGAAAGCCTCTAACTTCGGGACATTATAAGCACGGTTCAAACCCGCTCCAGATCATGGCAAAGATGGAACCTAGTCTTCTCAGCCATCCAGTGGTAGAAGCTTTGATCGTTACAAAGTGGGAAAGGTTTGCCAGAACTTACTTTTACATTTTTACCTTTCCGCTTTACCTTATCTTCTTTTCTGTGCTGATGGGATATCAGTTCACTCAAATCAAACCATTTGAACTTTTGGAAAATGATAAAGCTATTAGATCCTGGATTGGAAATGCTAGCCATACTTGTGATGAATTTCCTGATGGCTGCTCAAAGAAGAAATCTGCAGAGTGTGATATCTTTGGTTACATACTTTTGGTGATGTCTGCTATTCGCCTATTTCTCGAGCTTCTGGATCTCCTCGATAATGTTTTCAATAGATCAGATCTTGAAAGTGGAAGTTATCAGAGCCCTCTTGAAACTGTCAGAGCGTGGTTACAAGGTTTGATGAACTATCTTATTGACCCTGAGAACTATTTAGAGGTTATCTTATACGGCAGCTGTCTGTTCTTTTCTCTCAATGTGCTGGAACCGCAAAGTGTCATGTCCCCTTTTCATTGGAAGATTGGAGCTCTCTCCATTCTAACCAGCTTTATTAACCTCCTCCTTCTTTTGCAAGTATTCCCGAATATTGGAATATACATCATCATGTTCTTCAAAATAGCATGGACATTCGTCTCAAAGATATTATCCTTGCTAGTTTTCTTCTTGATCACCTTTATGGTGGTATTCCACATGCTGTTGAGCCACACAAATGTTTTTAGGAAAATACTGTCCGCAGATGCCATCTTCAAGACCTTGTCTGCGGGGGTATCTGGAGTCGAATACGACGATTATGCCGACCAAGAAATGATTTACCCAACAACAACGCTGGTGGGTCTCATTGCTTTCGCTCTGTTTGTCCAAGTTCTCTTCTTGAATCTTGCAACTGCTCTGGCAATAGGAGATGTGGATGAAATCCGACTCGGAGCGGAAATGTCCATCAACGCACTTAAAATCAAGCACATCTATAATGCACAGAGAATAGTGAATCTCATACAGTGGGTCGCCACACCCATCTTTTGTGAAAGTGCTCTAAACTTCGTGGAACATCAGAAACGATTTCGAAACATGCCAGCAAAGAGATTTAAGAAAAAACGACTTGAAAATATCAAAAAATTTACAGAGAAATATCAAAAAATTTACAGAGAAATCTGAAAATTCGGTCAGTTCATTTTCAGATTTTTATAAAAGTATGGTCTAACCCGCTCCAGATCATGACAAAGATGAATCATCGTCTTCTCACACATCCAGTTGCATCTATTCAAACATATACAGAGAATTCCATGAAATCAGAGATAAGCACAAGGAAATGCTCAGGGAAATTCACAGAGTAATCAGAAAATTTGGTCATTCCATTTTCAGATTTGTACGAAAAATATTACAAACGTTAAATATCGTAGTAATCAAAAATCAAGTACTGTTTTATAAACTATATGGAGAATAAACGCACGATTTAATATATACTGACGATTTAATATATATATATAATATTAATAAGGTTGTTTGCTCCTTTGAATCGAAGGAGATTTCACAACGGGTATACATTTCAACTAGAAGAATGTTAAGACCTTTATTTTTAAGATAGAAGTGAATACTCTTACTGCACTATATTTTTGTTAGCACTTATCAGTCTTTTGACGGATGTTACTCGTCTAAATTTCTTCGAAGTAGCGCGCGCCGCTTTCTTCTCGAAATGTTGGCCCGACGGCAAGTGCTACGAAGTAGCGCGCGCCGGGCCAGATCATTAGTCAATAGTCAAATCAGTCTTTTGCGATATTATACGAGTTTAAGATTGTTTTAAAGTTTTTAAGTAATACAAGATGATAATAATCACTAACTGGCTTTTGAGAAATGCATGCTTGTTTTTAAAATATTTACTTACGTATTAGAATATTATGTAAATTGTGAATCTTTTATAACACTATTCATTAACTCTTAACCTTTGTTTGCATTGATCTATAATTTAAATGGAAATCAAATGTCTAATGTCGATTGAATTAAAGTGTAAAGTAAATACAATCAGTCGCAATCGATCATCCAAATCTTGAGGTGACAAATATAATTATAAGATGAATTTCAATTGTGGTATGCAGTTACCCTGTACCAAAAGAAATAAAAGTCAAGATTTAGTCTGTCTATCCATTCTCCTTATCGCTTATTCTTCACTCTCAATATCTTCTATCGCCTCAATGATCACTTTTTCCCGTTTCTCTAATCGCCCCACAGCCTACTCCTTCTCCAGAGCTCGCTTCTCCGCCTCAGCTGCTGCTTTCTCCTCCACCACGTAGCGTGATCTTAATATTTTCAACGCTGGTCTCATCGATATTGCATTCACCATACCCTGTGCTCCTAACTCTGCTCCAGCTCCATTATCGTGCTTGTTTCCACGCTCACTCCCACTAAGTGTTGTTGCTGCACTGACAGCTCCGTCCCCTGCCTCGGGCAACCAATACCGGAACATTGTGTTTCCAACCCCTAGAGCATCTACCAGAATATTCGCTGTTATGTTAGCAGTTTGCCTAGCTTCCGCCACTTCCATTTATGCTTCCAAAGTCAGAGCTCTAATCTCTATCCACACTCTGTACCTGATCGTTTTCTGTTTCCTTTTCATCTTCCCGGGTGTGTGGTCTTGGTAGTCTCAATAACATGTCAGCGTTCCCATGGGCTTTGGTTGATCTGTCGAAGATATCATAGTGGTAATCCATGAGAAATAATGACCATCTGGTTAATCTTGCTGCGGTCATGACTGACAGTTGCTTGTGTTTTCTGAAAATGTGTACTAGTGGCTGGTTGTCAGTTATCAGTATAAACTTCTTTTCATACAGGTACAAATCGCCGCTGCTTAACAGTCGATTTTTGCGTAGTTCTTTTCCGCTGCAGTTAAAGTCCTTGAAATATACTCGATTGGACGTTCCGATCCATCAGGCATCGTATGTGACAGTACTGCGCCCAATCCGGTCGGAGACGCATCGGTGTCAAGTTTCAGCGGTTTATTAGGATCGTACAAAGTGAGCACTACTTGAACTTCCGAGCTAAGTAGTTCCTTCAAATTCTTCAAAGCTTCTTGTCGTCTCTTTGTCCACTTCCAGTTCCATTCCATTCCTTTCTTTCTGAGTTCATCTAATGGAGCAACAATCTGTGACATGTTTTTTTTCTCTCTCATTTTTAGCATATCTTCCACTTTCGACTTAACGGGCCTGATCCCGTCTTTGTTTACCTCATGTTTTAGGTAAATCACAGAGTCTGACTTCTCCATCTTGCATCTGTTTTCCAATCGACTAATCACTTCGTTGAGTATTCTCAGGTGCTCCTCTCTGTCCTTTACGGAAACGAGGATGTCGTCCACTCTGCGACAACACATTGGTATCCCTGCCAATGTTTGATCTATGGTCTCTTAAAAAATGGCTGCTGCTGGAGAAATACCGTAGGGTAAACGATTCCACAATAACTGTCCTAAGTGGGTATTAATCGTCGTCAGTATCTTCTTTCCTGATTGGGATGTTATTGTATGCAGCTCTAACGTTGATTTTTGTAAACGGATGTCCTCCCGTTACTTTGTTCAGGCACTCTTCTATAGACGGCAGTGGGTACTGCTGTGCTGCCATAGCTGGATTCAAGGTAAGGTTATACTTATACGTGCCACAGATACGAGTTTTTTCTCCTTTGAATACTGGCACTATTGGGACAAAAACATTACAACTAACAATACTTACAATGAGGTCTGATCGTCATCTTCTTACAGCGTTCGATGTCTGTGTGAAGGTAAAATGGTGATATCCTCTGGATCAGGCAGAGGTTGAGTGTTATCGGGATTATTTCTTTAGTAGTGGAACAGCAATACTAAGGTAATGGGACTACTGCGGACCCTCTACCGGCCAAACCTTGTTAACAAAGCCGCAGTCAAGGTTCGGTGAACGGTAGTTAAAAGCGCTTAAGGGACATAAGTCAAATTGGTAGAGCAACATCATGTAGTGGACATCTTAAGAAATGAGGAGTGGGTAGAATGTTAGGTTGCTCCTTTATAAATCGTCTTTTTCTCCGATAATAAGTTGACATCAAGTCTTGAAAATTATTCGAGAAGAATCTCGAATAATTTAGTTGCAGCGTGCCACATGGCTATCTAAACTGCAAACCCTACCCATTGCTGAGCAACTAAATTATTCGAGATTCTTCTCGAATAATTTTCAAGACTTGATGTCAACTTATTATCGGAGAAAAAGACGATTTATAAAGGAGCAACCTAACATTCTACCCACTCCTCATTTCTTAAGATGTCCACTACATGATGTTGCTCTACCAATTTGACTTATGTCCCTTAAGCGCTTTTAACTACCGTTCACCGAACCTTGACTGCGGCTTTGTTAACAAGGTTTGGCCGGTAGAGGGTCCGCAGTAGTCCCATTACCTTAGTATTGCTGTTCCACTACTAAAGAAATAATCCCGATAACACTCAACCTCTGCCTGATCCAGAGGATATCACCATTTTACCTTCACACAGACATCGAACGCTGTAAGAAGATGACGATCAGACCTCATTATTGATGATCCCGCTCGTCGGAGAAGATAAAGGCCTTGCTCAGCAATGGGTAGGGTTTGCAGTTTAGATAGCCATGTGGCACGCTGCAACTAAATTATTCGAGATTCTTCTCGAATAATTTTCAAGACTTGATGTCAACTTATTATCGGAGAAAAAGACGATTTATAAAGGAGCAACCTAACATTCTACCCACTCCTCATTTCTTAAGATGTCCACTACATGATGTTGCTCTACCAATTTGACTTATGTCCCTTAAGCGCTTTTAACTACCGTTCACCGAACCTTGACTGCGGCTTTGTTAACAAGGTTTGGCCGGTAGAGGGTCCGCAGTAGTCCCATTACCTTAGTATTGCTGTTCCACTACTAAAGAAATAATCCCGATAACACTCAACCTCTGCCTGATCCAGAGGATATCACCATTTTACCTTCACACAGACATCGAACGCTGTAAGAAGATGACGATCAGACCTCATTATTGATGATCCCGCTCGTCGGAGAAGATAAAGGCCTTGCTCAGCAATGGGTAGGGTTTGCAGTTTAGATAGCCATGTGGCACGCTGCAACTAAATTATTCGAGATTCTTCTCGAATAATTTTCAAGACTTGATGTCAACTTATTATCGGAGAAAAAGACGATTTATAAAGGAGCAACCTAACATTCTACCCACTCCTCATTTCTTAAGATGTCCACTACATGATGTTGCTCTACCAATTTGACTTATGTCCCTTAAGCGCTTTTAACTACCGTTCACCGAACCTTGACTGCGGCTTTGTTAACAAGGTTTGGCCGGTAGAGGGTCCGCAGTAGTCCCATTACCTTAGTATTGCTGTTCCACTACTAACAATACTTACGCTTGATCAGGAGTCAAACTCCATGTTCAGATATGGTCCATTTATTTTCACTGGTACTAACAGTTTTTCTGAGGAAGTATGGTTACAATTGAATTGAACAATCTCTTGATTGTCAATCAGTTCTACATGACAGAAGAAGAATTATCACATCTAAATTTTATTGAGCTTACATTCTTTATCATATAATGTTTATGATAAACAGTTAAATATCGCTAACTGTACACAGGTCCCTACTGCGTGTAATAAGACATTTTATGCTATGATATGTAACTAATGTATGTATTGTTGGCTCGCCGTTGGAACGTTCCCAGATACCTTAGGGCCAACAAATTTGGGTAACAATATTGACATTGTTGGCCCTAAGATATTCCTCCTTACCAAATTATGCACGTATGTTGTAAGTTATAGGATCACGAGGTTAATAATTTGTCCACGTGACCGTTTGGCACGCAGTGTGCACGTGAACCCATGGGAAATTTCTGATACATGTGTTCCGTTATCTATACTAGTATATTTAGTTCACTGCCCGTGTTTTGTTACTTTCTACGTTTCTTTCTACGTTTCTATATAGATTTGTACCTTGAGTTTTGCAGAGTCGTTACAATTTCCGATTTCATCATGAACTTCGACATACGTTCTGCGAAATTGAAAAAAACTAGCTTAATGATAATAATGGAAAAATCAAATAAATGGAACAGAAAATGGTCTCGAAAAGTCAAAAAATGCGACTAAAATTGTTGTAGACTGAAAATTTGCGAAATTTGTGCCCAAAATTATGGTAACCAAAATTATGGTAACCAAATTTATTGTTACCCAAATTTGTTGGCCCTAAAGTACCTCGTTTCCAGTTTCATCTTCAAAGCTTCATTTCAATTTTATGAATAATTTAGCTACCACTGTCAGTACGAGTACATTTTCCTCCCTCCTTTTGTGTGGCTACCACCTATCTCTTGAAGAGAATTCTGATATGTTTCTTGTAGTTGTATTAATAATAACAATCCAGTGCAATTGTAAGATTTGTACTCAAGACTTAAATTCACTGGTCGGTGCTCAGCTTGTCATTCCGCTGAATCTCTATCACTATGTTTAATGTTTATACGATTGGCAGTGAAATATATTATTCAAGGAGTGGCCATGGCGCTGAGATAGAGAGACTACCTCGTTTCATCTTCAAAGCTTCATTTCAATTTCATGAATAATTTAGATACTGCTACCGCTGTCAGTACATTCTCCTCCCTCTTGAAGAGAATTCTGATATGTTTCTTGTATGAATAATAACAATCCCAAGCGAATGTCTTCTACTCAAGACTTAGATCCGCGAAGCCAAGACTTAGTTTCGGTGAGCCAAAATTTTGAGTCTGTACTGAGCCAGAGATCTAAACCAGTAATCCATTTATCTGCGCCAGTGAGCCAAAAGTATACGAGCAAAATTGTACCCCGAGTATCTGATCGGCTCACAAGTCAATGACTCAGACTTATGAACTCCCTGTTTTAACATTTTTTAATGTCGTTACTTTTCTTAATCTTAGACTTCGCTCCGGCTTACCTGTGAAACCTTCGTATGGAGTATTTGTAGGCGAATTGTAAGTGTATAGGATATGCAAATCCTCTTCATATCAGTAGTTACTGAATTTATTCATGATCTTAAATTATTAATTGATAAACTGATTACCCAGAATTTGAACGGAAGATCTTGTATCCTTAGCAATAAAAACAGGAGAAATATGGCCCCTTCCAACAAGTACAGCCTGTTTGGAGGAGACGAGATGTACTACTATAACAGCTGTTGGCTTTATAACAAAGTAAACCCTGTTTTGGCCCGTTCACTCTTCTCAACATTTTTCCTTCTTGGTACACTGATTGGACTGATTGGAAGTACTATCATCTTAATAGCTACTAAACATAAAGCAATTAGGTTGGGCAAGATAACAACTGCGCTGATTCAACACGTTGCAGTTCTCGACCTCTTAACTACACTCGTTATTCTCTTCCCCACTTGCTTGGCTGCCATCACGGACCGTTGGTTGTTAGGAGAAAACTTTTGTGATTTACAAGGGTACTCCAGACCGTTTCTCTCTTCTTGTACTGCTCTTTTGACTACTGGCGCTATGAGTATGAGCTGTTCTAAACTTGTTGCGATGCTGTTTCCTTTCAGATGTGCAAGATGGACTAGTCGACAAGGTCACATTCTAGCAAGCTGCATGTGGGCAGCCTCATTAGCCCTTGTTTTAATATTTGTTCTGCAAAAAGATCAAATTAGCGTAATGTACTATTATCAGCTGTTAAGTTGCGACCTGTTCATAAGAAAAGGAATTGTTTAAGAAATCAACAATCGTGGTATTGAGTGAAGTGCTGCTCTGCACTTTCATAGTAGTGATTTCTGGTACCTGGCTGATAGTTATCGCTGTGAGGTTGAGTCATTTCACCGACAAGGGAGATCAGCTAATTTTTTGTCATACGTTGTATGACCCGCCGCGCACGAGTGCGCGGCTCCCCCTGTATCGTCGAAACTCTCGCTCCTACTAAATCGCTCGCCCAAATTTTAAGAAAATTCTTGTGAAAAGGCCCTTTGGGTATGCAATTGATCAGGATCGGTGTATTTTTGGACGCTGATTCCGAATCACCCCCATGACGTAGGGTAAAAATGCTTCCCTGGAGAGTTATGGGCAAAAAACCGTTTTGGTCACGTGACAGGCTAGTAAAACATGATGATTCGGAATCAGCGTCCAAAAATACACCGATCCTGATCAATTGCATACCCAAAGGGCCTTTTCACAAGAATTTTCTTAAAATTTGGGCGAGCGATTTAGTAGGAGCGCTTTTTTGGACAATACGTCCTGGAGGTGATTTATGATGGTAATCATAATTACTTTAAAATGGAAATGTTTTGTAAATGCATTCCATACTTGAACAACATTACCAATGTATTCATTTACACAATTTCCATAAGAAGCTTTAAGAATTTCATTAAAGCGAAATCTTTGCGATATTTTCGTGTTTCGTGACCCAGAGAAGAGTACCCCCCCATCATTAATGCTCATACAATCTCCGAAACGGTAGAAACAGATGAAACTCAAAGAAGGAGGCAAGAGGAGGTTAAGGAAACAGTTGGAAATCAAAGTAGGAATAGAAAAGAGGTTGATGAAACAGAAATGTAGGCCCATACTTGGGAAGAGACTGTTGGCGGCGATTGACGAACAAATGTCAAATGTATCTAGATATTTGAATATCAGCATTCGGTTGATATGAGGGCAAATTGATTAGTTTGGAGTTGGCACTTGCATGTATGTAAATACTAAATATGCGTGCCGCGCATATGTGATCACGTGATTTGCCGCGCGCAATATAGATCGATCAATATTATTTAATTATTGCCATCTTCGTGAACAAGAGAGATGAAAAGTTGAACTACAATTTTGTCACAGCGCGTTACAAATATAATCACCTTTTTCAATGATTGCGCAATAGTAATTTCATTTTTGAGACGAACTAAGAGCTGCAACAGGCCAAAGTTATGTGTTAGTACTTAGTCATAGGGTAAAAGTCGCATCTACAGGGTTGGGCCACTTAAAACAAAGGTTATGTCGAAAGTATGACTCCTGTTACATCCAAGGGGCTTGTTTGTGCCTCTGAGATATCTAATCAATACTTACAAGGATTAGATAATCCCTACTTAATGTTAGAGGTATTTTGTGTCGAAATTTGGTGGATCATGTCGACAAAATACGGAAAACTACCGACAAAATCTAACTCAAAGCAGTACATTTCTGACTTTTACTTTTTTCTAAGTTTTGAAGAAACTTTCGAGTACATTATGCCAGCTCAACAGCACGTGGCTTGAAGCGTGATGTGCCTCAATATACCTTCAGGAAACCATCCCACTCACTTCCTCCTCAGCTCAAACTTGTGTACAATTATACACAAATCATACATTTATTATACACAATCCTGAATTCTTGTAATTATTAATTATACACAAATCGTATAATGGTACACAAATCGTGTAAATGTATGCACAAATCGTATGCTTGAGTATGTATTGTCGTCTTAATTCTTGGTTGTAAGCTTTTAGTCTATACTTAGTCTTTAGGAATTAAGTTTATTACAATTATCTAAGGAATATTCTATTAACGCGTTTCTTAAAATAAAAGTTCTTGCAAGACAAGTTATATTGAGAGATTTTTAAGTATTACCTGTTAGGAGACACAAAAGCAGAGAATTTCAAATGTTATAACAATTCAATAACGATTTAGTACAATGAAATTTTAGCAAAACAAAATCAAATAGTTGGTAAACTTATCAGCAATAATAATTTAAATGTAAACAGTTATTAACATATCTATCAAACAAGGCCAGCTTGCTTGTTACTCATTATTTATTAATATAGATACTAGTCACTTCATCTTTATAGATTTATAGATATATACTATATTACTATAGATCTATACTAGATTACTATAGATCTATACTAGATTACTATAGATCTATACTATATTACTATAGATCTATACTAGATTACTATAGATCTATACTAGATTATTATAGATCTATACATTATACTAGATTACGAAACAAATACTTTCTTGGCACTTTGCCGATGACAGACATACATATTCAATGCAATGACAAATTAATGTAAATTCCAATCTAATCAATAATAATTTCTAGACTCGTAAAACATTCTTCCAGATTTAAAATTAACAACACATTTAAATACAACAATACATCATATTTTAGAAACTATCAAATAAAACATTGTTTGCCTGCACTCTATCACAAGTCCACTTATCAGGTCCTCATACTAAATACTTCAACCTTCCAACTTTTTCTAGAATACTCTTCACAGCACACCGAACCCTGGGATAATCGGGTTATTTTAGGGTAAATTTGTTATAACCGGAGAGAAGATTGGAAATAAGGAATAAAGGTTCACTGAAATGTTCACTCGGCTGAACTTATTTAGTTATTATTCAGTTTAAGTTACTAAGTTATTTAGTTATTATTCAGTTTAAGTTACTAAGTTACTTTAGTTATTATTCAGTTTAAGTTACTAAGTTATTTAGTTATTACTCAGTTTGAGTTACTAAGTTATTTAGTTATTATTCAGTTTAAGTTACTAAGTTATTTAGTTATTATTCAGTAAGTTACTAAGTTATTTAGTTATTATTCAGTTTAAGTTACTAAGTAACTTTAGTTATTATTCAGTTTAAGTTACTAAGTTATTTAGTTATTATTCAGTTTAAGTTACTAAGTTATTTAGTTATTACTCAGTTTGAGTTACTAAGTAACTTTAGTTACCTGTTATCTGTAACGTTAACACACAACTCTATAGTCGAGGGGTAGATGGCTGGCAGTAATAATCTGAACATCTCGTCAGATAATCCGTAATACCTGAACAATTTGTTACATTTACTAACAATGCAAAGTTATTGATATATTAACTTAACAATTGAATATTCCGGCTGTTTTAGACCTAAACAGCCGGAATATAAGTTAAAATAAACAGACTAGTAGTAAAGTTGTGATAATATTAAATACATTAATTAAAGAGAGATAAAGAGACTAACATGTTGAGTACGGAGACAACTGTACTGGTCCAATGTTCGATATCGTTAACTGAAAACCGTTCCTGTACCGCTTCAGGGTCCTCTTCTAGTGTCAGGTCCTTCTTACTTCCCTGTAAATATAATTAATCAATTAATTTATCAATTATACGCCATTTAAAATGTTGGAACACAGGAAGATTTGGTATGGACATAAACATTTTGAAACATTTTAAAAGTTACAAATATCCGAATGTTCCCTAAAATCTTAGTCAAATGTGAGCTAGGTCAGAATTATTAGTAATTATATTATTTGTAAATAATTAAAGCTGACCTTCTTGTTAAGAACAGGTTTGTGTTTGAGAATGCTACTTTGACCCTGAGTACTGTACATAAGAGAGTAAGCCGCGCACAGCTGACAACTAGCTTCTTTTAGACACGTGTCCAGGATTCCCTCCCACGAGGTATCAATACTGGAGGAGGTGGAATGTTCAGTACTTTATTAATAATTAACTAATTAAATCAATCAAAATCAAAGTATTAAAAGGAATTGAAAAAAATTCTCAAAAAATCCTTGTGAACCTAACATGTCACGTTAATCTCTAGAGTATATCAGACATACAAAACAGGCATTAACTTTTTAAAGCCAAGAGTAAAGAAGCAAGCAACGAACCTTTCTAAGCTGAGACCAGCATGACTGTAATTACCACTACTCTTCTGAATCGTCTTCGGTGCTCCTCCTTCCTCGCTCCTTTCAGCTCCTTCTCCCTCCTCCTCCTCTTTCTCCCGCTTCTAAAGGAGTAAGTTAATATTAAGGGATTGCGATTTCTTGTGCAATGCCTACTGACGCACAGTGACGATATAGATGCAGTTCAAACACCAGCACTGACAGATTATATTAGAATTTACTGATAAATTTTACAGGGGTGAAGAATTGTTGTTTGCCACGTGACGGTGATTCTGGGGTTTGATTGCTCAATAGTGGAAGCTGATTAATCGCTGTCACGCTTAAAAAACATGCTCCTCACCAGCTCCCTACCAGAATCCACATCTAATAAACATGCTCCTCACCAGCTCCCTACCAGAATCCACATCTAATAAACATGCTCCTCACCTCCCTACCAGAATACACATCTAATAAACATGCTCCTCACCTCCCTACCAGAATACACATCTAATAAACATGTTCCTCACCTCCCTACCAGAATCTAATAGATGTGGATTCTGGTAGAGAGGTATATAAAAAGCTGAAATAACTATTTTTACCTGCTCCTTTACGTTAATCCTCAGATAAAGAATAGTGTTAATATACGTGATGTAACTCTTCTGTGCTTGCTTCACCAGACCCGGTGTGTAATCGTTCAGACACCCCACCTTCTGTATCAGGTACCTGGAAACGTGTACCTGTCAGTTTGTCAGTTTGTCAGTTTGTCAGTTTGTCAGTTTGTGACAACACTCAGATCGTTATATCAATATAATGAGGTATTAGCTTATTAGGGCCCCTCTAAGATCGATTAATGTTGAAGTCTCCCTCTCTCCTCTGGACCTATGACCTGTACCCTGATTTGTAGTAACACTCTGGTAAAGGGCGGGGCGGAGTGTACTATTATCACTAAAGACACTACATAATATAGTGTATAAACCAGCCACAGTACACAGTGAGTATACAATGTGGGGGGATGCCAGTAAATTGTAATGAGCAACGTGAGTGTACTATGTAACGTGCCAGTAACGCCAGAGAGAGCAACGTGGGGGGGGGGGCGGGGGGGGGGGGGGCGACGCCAGTAACGAGGTCCTTTGAATATTGTTCTTGAAAGCTTGAAGAGTCATGAGGTTTAGAATTTTGGGAGAATACGTCAACTTTCATTAACGCATTGTTGTAGATGTTAACCAATAATATTTGTTATAATGTGAACCCTATTATAACGTTTGTTACATGATATTATGTGGTTGATAGGAGTATAGACGTGTGTCGTGTAATGTTAGTAATATTATACACATATTATACACATATTGTACACATATTATACACATATTATACACATATTATACACATATTATACACATATTATTCACATATTATACACATATTATACACATATTATACACATATTATACACATATTATACACATATTGTACACATATTATACACATATTATACACATATTATACACATATTGTACACATATTATACACATATTATACACATATTATACACATATTGTACACATATTATACACATATTATACACATATTGTACACATATTATACACATATTATACACATATTATACACATATTATACACATATTGTACACATATTATACACATATTATACACATATTATACACATATTATACACATATTATACACATATTGTACACATATTATACACATATTATACTCATATTATACACATATTATACACATATTATAAACATATACACATATTATACTCATATTATACACATATTATACACATATTATACACATATTATACACATATTATACACATATTATATACATATTATACACATATTATACACATATTATACACATATTATATACATATTATACACATATTATAAACATATACACATATTATACTCATATTATACACATATTATACACATATTGTACACATATTATACACATATTATACACATATTATACACATATTATACACATATTATACACATATTATACACATATTATACACATATTATATACATATTATACACATATTATACACATAAAACTACCCTCACCTTAGCCCAGGTCTGTGGTTAAAGGCGATACACACTTCATAGCTGTCCCACACTGCGTCCAACAGCATCGACATCGTCTGTTAAATACAACAGTTAAATAAAACAAACATTTTATGAGTAAAGTGAGTGTTAGGCAAATCAAATTTATCAAAAATAAGCAAATTGTGTCACAACTCACAATTCTTTGTTTAGCTCAAAATATGATAACTCCATAATGATGGCATAAGTTTTTGATGTGAAACAAACAAAAAAGGGTATAAAAACCATGTTTGTTCCACCAACCTGAGGAGTCAGAACTTTAAGCAGCTCAGAAAAGCCAGTAGTAGATTTAGTTGTGGGATGCTTGTCCCCGACAAACAGATCATTAATAGTCTGAACAAGAAGCGAGTGAGCCAGGAGCCCTATAACCAGGTCACTGAAGGGGACTCTAGAGGGTTTGTTAGAGAGTCTGTCAGCGGGCCAGGCTATCACGTAGCTCCTCATGTATTGCTCTACTTTCTCTTCAGGGGTGGGACCTATGCTTTCTTTGTTGAGCATGTCAACCTGAGAGTACTGCGGAGGAGGAGGTTAGTGGGATAATAAGTGTAGGCTTGGGAGAGGGTTGAAGCTAGGTTAGTGAGATTGGAATACTTTGAGGCAGTAAAAGGAGGAATTAGAGGTAAATCCTGAAAAAACCGGTATATATATAAACAGTTATACTTGTAGTCAAGAAACTCAAGTATTGTACATTATAAACTGGAACTGACCTGTTGCTCGTTGAGGAAGACTTGTTGAGTTAGGGTACTGAGACGTTTAGCGACTGCACTAGGAGTGTCCTTTCTAGCATATACCCGCACTAACCCATTATCTCCACCATCTAGCCTGTAATAAGAAGTTGTGATGTAGGGAGAGGGGGGGGGGCCGGGAGGCAGAGGAGTGTGGGGTGGGGGAGAGGGGGGGGGGGGGGCAGAGGAGTGGGGGTGGGGGTTTGGGGGGGGGGGGGGGGGGGAGGGGGGGGAGGGGGCAGAGGAGTGTGGGGTGGGGGTGGGGGTTGGTATAAAGTCTTTTTGACTCAAAATGATAAGGATATAATAAGTAAAGCCAAGCAATCGCGTGACATTCGATTTTGAAGAAACACATAAAGTTTGTAAGATGCATTACCTGTTAGGTTGAGTGAACGGTATAAGCACCAAGTGCACCGCCTCCAGACTCCCATTACAAGCATCAGCCAGTCCTCTGCACACCACGTTCAGGTGATCACCCAGTTGTTTACCAGTCGTGAAGAGCAGGTGACGGATACAGCTGCAACCTACACGTGCTATACCTGGGGGCGTTATAGTAGGTTGTTAGTGTTGTAGCAGCACCTGATTGGAGTTAGAGATAGCATTTTAGTGATATTTCAGGTACGAACATTATTTACGACTCAAGTTTGGTTCAAATCCAATACAAACATAGACAACTTGACCCATGATTTGAGTGTACTCTAGTACTCTACCTTCAAGTGGTTGTTTGACACAGGCGTTAAGGAGAACCATGACATGTTGTAGTAAGCTGTTAATCGCTACCTGTGGGGCGGTAACATTCAGACATTCTACTAACATTCCCCGTTGCAAGTGCAGAATAAATAATATAAGGTCTTACAGAATATGAAATAGCTAATTATCTTCATTCTCCAGACTAAGAAACGTTTACAAACTAGCCTAATAGCTGATTATACAATAATTATGAAATAATAACATTTTAATCACGTGACCCACCTCTGTATCGAAGTCGTATCTATCCCTCTCTCGTTTCAGTGAGGTAATGGTCTCACTGACCAGCTCTATCGCTAAACCACACGCGTGTTTAAAGTTAGACTCCATGTTCTCGTTATGAACCCACTTTAACCGCGAACTTCTCTTTACCCAGCTGTAAATGAGGCAAGATGAGGCCAGGTTCATGTTTTATGAGCGTTGTGATTAACTTCAAGTCTTTAATTAATTTAATATTCAGTTAGTTTCGAAAATATATGGAGCCGTTAATTTAACTAGTTTTTAAGTTTTAGACGTTACCCGGCTAGTCGAGACATGCTTCTGAAGTAATATTGAGCTATTGCCATGCAAGGTGCAATTTTAGTGTCATGAAAAAGAACGCGAATTATGTCGCAGCAGAGCACCCAGAGTATAAATGAAAGTTGGAACAAGAATAAATGATGGTAATTTCCTCGTAATCAGAAATCGTGATAGAGAAAGAATTAGATTGAAATGATAACAGTCAGAGAATATCTTTTAAGTTATAAATCATAAACAAGTTAATGTTTGAAATCAGCCATTCAGAATATATGGGATCAAGGAGTTGATATTATAGGGGTTATAGATCATTCCAAAGTTTTAGAAAGTTCTGGAAAAAGTTAGATTTTAATCGAAATGTTTGCAATGTCAACATACCCACTTATGTTTTCTAAACCGCTGTAGGAATGTTGTAGAAAGATATTATTTAAAGCGAGAAAAAAGCTGAAAATATCCTCAAAGTGGTAAGTGTTAAGTGGTAAGTGGTAAGTGGTAAGTGGTAAGTGGTAAGTGGTAAGTGGTAAGTGGTAAATAGTAAGTGGTAAGTGGTAAGTGGTGAGCGGTAAGTGGTAAGTGGTAAGTGGTAAGTGGTAAGTAGTAAGTAGTAAGTGGTAAGTGGTAAGTGGTAAGTGGTAAGTGGTAAGTGGTAAGTGGTGAGCGGTTAGTGGTAAGTGGTAAGTAGTAAGTAGTAAGTAGTAAGTAGTAAGTAGTAAGTAGTAAGTGGTTAAATGGTAGAGTTACGGGACAAGGAAGATGCAATTTACAGGGCCCCCATTTGGGGGTTTTTGTGCACTATTTACCTGGTGAGCATGGGGAACAGCTGGTGACACATGACCAATATCTGGAACTGTGGGCCAGGTATTATAGCTAGTGCTCGCAACATACTGTACACTGTCTCCATAGTCTGGGCTTGTACCTGTTAGTGGGGAGACGGTGAATATTAAATTTATTAGAAATGTAATTGTGCAAGCAAAATTCACTTGTATGAATACAACTGACATTTTAGTAACTCCTCCTTTTGTCAGGAGGGGGGGGGGGGGGGGGCGTCCGGGGGATTGAACCAGATGTAGGCAGTTATCTGATTCCTCGTGGTGACATAACATATTTAAACCATACTGGTACGAATAGTACGAATAGTACGAATAGAGAGATTGTGATTATAAAAACATTATATTCCCCACATTGTTTGCACATTATCCGCCAGAAGATTTCTACTTAACACAAAACAAAGCATCATTCTGTTCTACCTGCTGAACTACCGAGGACAGGAACATACCTGCTGAACTACCGAGGACAGGAACATACCTGCTGAACTACCGAGGACAGGAACATACCTGCTGAACTACCGAGGACAGGAACATACCTGCTGAACTACCGAGGACAGGAACATACCTGCTGAACTACCGAGGACAGGAACATACCTGCTGAACTACCGAGGACAGGAACATACCTGCTGAACTACCGAGGATAGGAACATACCTGCTGAACTACCGAGGACAGGAACATACCTGCTGAACTACCGAGGACAGGAACATACCTGCTGAACTACCGAGGATAGGAACATACCTGCTGAACTACCGAGGACAGGAACATACCTGCTGAACTACCGAGGATAGGAACATACCTGCTGAACTACCGAGGACAGGAACATACCTGCTGAACTACCGAGGACAGGAACATACCTGCTGAACTACCGAGGACAGGAACATACCTGCTGAACTACCGAAGACAGGAACATACCTGCTGAACTACCGAGGACAGGAACATACCTGCTGAACTACCGAGGATAGGAACATACCTGCTGAACTACCGAGGACAGGAACATACCTGCTGAACTACCGAGGATAGGAACATACCTGCTGAACTACCGAGGACAGGAACATACCTGCTGAACTACCGAGGATAGGAACATACCTGCTGAACTACCGAGGACAGGAACATACCTGCTGAACTACCGAGGATAGGAACATACCTGCTGAACTACCGAGGATAGGAACATACCTGCTGAACTACCGAGGACAGGAACATACCTGCTGAACTACCGAGGATAGGAACATACCTGCTGAACTACCGAGGACAGGAACATACCTGCTGAACTACCGAGGACAGGAACATACCTGCTGAACTACCGAGGATAGGAACATACCTGCTGAACTACCGAGGACAGGAACATACCTGCTGAACTACCGAGGACAGGAACATACCTGCTGAACTACCGAGGATAGGAACATACCTGCTGAACTACCGAGGACAGGAACATACCTGCTGAACTACCGAGGACAGGAACATACCTGCTGAACTACCGAGGATAGGAACATACCTGCTGAACTACCGAGGACAGGAACATACCTGCTGAACTACCGAGGACAGGAACATACCTGCTGAACTACCGAGGATAGGAACATACCTGCTGGTGACATTGCAGCACGGTGCCGCACATTCCTTCTATCATGATCCACCACACCTGAACAAGAAACGTGTTAAATACAGAATCTTAGTATAGAGGTGATAAAATGGGTGTGGAACAGAGAGTTAAAGTAGTGAAAGCGAAAGTAACTGACCTTCAACAAGCCACTGTTATCATTATAAGGAAGGAAGTCGAAGAGAGCCCTGCTCCCAGCCTCTCCGTTCAGTCCCACAGCAGGCACTTTTATCCTGTCAGATCCTGAAACATAGAAATACCCATTAATAAGCTTTACTTCACTGGGCAACAAAATGTGTCTTCTTTCTCATAATGCCCTTAGTCGAGATGTCAAGTAAATGTCAGCCCCTGAAACATAGAAATACCCATTAATAAGCTTTACTTCACTGGGCGACAAAATGTGTAAGTAAATGTCAGCCCCTGCTGCACCACTACTGACTACACCGTGTATAACCCTCATCTGTAGCGTTATCCTGGATCATTACCGTACAGATGAGACATGGTAAAGTGTACACTCTGGCTGAACAGCTCACTGATCCAAATCATGTCATTTTCATTAAGCTGTAGGGTGTGGGTTATATAATACACTTCTGTAGAGATGAGTAGGGACCGGACTCCACTGTCCAGAGTATATAATTACTGTAGAAGGGGTGGTAAGGTGTAGGGGGGGGGGGGGGGAGCATGGTAACTCATGGTAACGTGCGTGGTATGCATGGTAACGTGAAGATTAGCACATGGTATGCATGGTAACGCAATGTGAAACACCTGGTAACACATTGAACACCTCAACTCTAATATCCACCTGGATCACACCGTTCTACGATTAGTTAGCAAGGGATTAGGGGGTGCAAAGTGTTTTGGCACATGGTAACTAAATGATGGTTTATGCCGAAAGTTCAACAGATAAGATCTATTAGATGGAGATTTACCGTTCCACTGATCTTGCAATTAGATTGAGATACCCGGTCTCATGATTATAACATAGTTCCAATAAGTGTTGTAGCAGTGAGATATTATTTACCTGCGAAGAAAGGTCTCTGTTCCAATCCATACATGATGGATAACATGGTCGCTATCCGAGAAAGGTACTTGAGGGAGGGTAGTCCGAGTTGCACTGCTAATCTAGCGTTGTGGGATTCTATCTTCTGGTCCTGAATGTGGGTCTTATTTATATTGGAAAAACCCCCGATTTACCATGAACCCCAATTTACCGCGAACCCCAATTTACTGCGAACCCTAATTTACCACGAACCCTAATTTACCGTGAATGGTCTCTTTTCCCCAAACTCCAAGGTAAATCGGGGTTTTACTATTATAACAATATTAGGATATCATGCTAGTAGTCTATAACTACAGTGTACCTAGTCCCTACACTGTGTTTATTGTAAGGAAAGGCACCTAACAAAAGAAGCTTTACAAAAGATAGCAATTAATGAGGATTGGGGCTCATTCTTATCACACGTGTTCACGCGCAATTTCAGTGATCTATCCACCAACTCAATAAATGACATGTATGGGACATGGGTTGGCGCGGCTGCCGGACAACTAAGAACCTGTCAATTTTACCTAGTTACCGTTTTTGAGTTGGTACGTAACAGCTGCATAACAATAGTCCTCGCTCGTTCATTTGCCCTGAATGTCTCAATCCTTTAGATTCAAATCTCAACTACATTGTTTAATTATCTAGAAGTTTCATTATCGTCGGTCTTGCACCGAGGGCTGAATTTGAGGAGCTAACCAATTGTCGCCCACCCATGTGGCGTGCAGCTCTATAAACCAAAACCAAAACCAAAACCAAAAATTGTTTAATCTTCCAGCTCTCAAACTTTTGAAGTTTAGACTGTCCCTCATTACATCGGAACCAATATAATAGATATATTTATTTGGTGCACAATAGTGGTGGTATGTCAACAAACTCCGCCCCGTAGCACTATAGTACTCCGTGTACTTTAGTATTTAGTCATGATGCGATGAAGTAAAGTCGAGACTGAAAACACAAAGACGTGAAACTTATTAAGAGACAGAAGAGACTACCGGTGCCAAACTTTGAAATTGTTGTTTTCTGGTTGGGCAATATGATGTGATACCTGCGCGGCGGGAGCCCGGAATGAGAGGTTCCCGATTGGCGTGGTTCTCAACAGCTCAAAATTCACTAGATCATCTAGTAGATTTTAAAAATCTACACACTTATTTTACTTCGGAGTATTCCAACAGTCACATTGTTATACAAGTGTAACCAGCCAATTACTGGCAGCCGGTTAAGGTAGTGTGTGGGCAGCTCCTCTTTTAACCTCACACCCGATTTCTCGAGAATTCGGCTGAGTAGACCGGGGGGCTGCATAGACCACTCATGATCCTTAGCTGAACGTTAACGACGCTCACCCCACGACCAGGCAGACAGCGGGATTCGAACTCGCAACCTCACGATTACAAAGCAACCTCACGATTGCAAAGCTGGTTTTCTAACCAACTGCGCTACCTGGCGCGATAAAACAGCCACAATGTTAAAAGTAGTTATTTTAGTCTAAAACTGACCAGATAAACAGTGTCCTTGCTCTGCTGAACGGAGCCACTACAGATAAACTTCTGTAGACACAGAACACAGTCGATAATGGCATCAGCGAATATGAACACATCATCGCGCTCCAGCACCACAGACACCACTTCGAACACGGGTGTGGTCCATGTGTCTTCTTCGTTAGATACCGGCACCTGGATAACGGGGTATCTTCGGTTAGAGTTCAGTTATAAAGGAATTTAAACTTGTCCAACGTCTTAGAGAATGGAATTTGTAATACCAGACTTGACTTTCATACCATTAAATTGGCTCTCGATAATATTAAAGTAAAACCTAAATATCTAAATATCTAAACGCGTCCCTTTGGATATTGACCAACTGTGTTAAAATGTAAATCCCCCTAGTTAAATACTTAAATAAGTTAAATCCCCCTAGTTAAATACTTAAATAGGGTTACCTTGACACTCCGGAGTGATCTAAAGAGAGCTTTCCACCCACTCTTCAGTTCCCGAGCATTAGCTTCAGCTAACTCGCACAGGCAGCTCACAATCTGAAACAATTAGAATTTAAACATTTTGAAAGAATTTATAATTTAAACGTGGAATTTTGAAACAGTTAGACTAATGGATGAGTTTAAAAGATACTTTCTATCTTTTTTATTGTTTTAATTACAGTAACACCGAGCTAAATAATTTTCTGGAATGTTTCCAAATTCCCGTGTAAAGTTAATACATTTTGCAGTTTTCTATTCCACTATTGTGATTCCACACGCAACTTTGCAAAGTGATTTAGCACAGTTTTGAAACGTGAGGCGTGAAATCATACAATGCATTTAATGTGGTTTTACTCTTAATGTGATGTGGAAAACAGTTTGCGTATATGGACACGTTCATTGAAGTTTGAGGATATTGGTAAATTTCTAAAATAGCGTTTTCGACGATAGTGGCTTAATTTTAGCATCTATTAATCTAGCGTGTTCATAAGTTCTGAACATTAGCCACGTGACCCATACTCCCATATGCACTGCTCAGAAATAAAATGTATTGCTTTTAGGCACTATAATGTAAAAAATGTCACATTTTTGTGACATTGTTTACCATAGCTGCCCAATTATCATTCCTTGGTCTGAAATATAGTAGATTAGGTCAATCTAACAATTATGATACAACATTGGTTAAAGGGCACGGATCGAACGGCTTTAAGGCAATATTTCGTAAACTTTGTCACACTCAGAATACGAGACCTCTTTTCTACTGTGAGGTGTCCTTAAAACCCTTTCAACTCATTATTTGATGGTTCTTCTGCCAATCATAGCCCTAAAATATGTTGTTTTGAAAAGTTAGCTAATACATGCACTTGGTTATTGGGAAATGATGTAAATTCTGTCACATTATATGGAATTTGAAATTCTGGGTGAATTTCCGAAATCATTTATATCTGATTTTGGTGTGGAAGGCGGGAAAACTCTATATAAGGACGATACACGGATACAGTTGATTCAAGTATACTAGGGCAGTTGATGTAAACATCGTCACAAAATGATACGACATCGTAAATAGGTTACATTTTGCGGGGAAAATCTATATAAGGACGATACACGGATACAGTTTATTCAAGTATAGGGCAGTTGTTGTAAACATCGTCACAAAATGATACGACATCGTAAATAGGTTACATTTTGCGGGAAAACTCTATCTAAGGACGATACACGGATACAGTTGATTCAAGTATAGGGCAGTTGATGTAAACATCGTCACAAAATGATACGACATCGTAAATAAGTTAAATTTTGCGGGAAAACTCTATATAAGGACGATACACGGATACAGTTGATTCAAGTATAGGGCAGTTGATGTAAACATCGTCACAAAATGATAAGACATCATAAATAGGTTAAATTTGGAAGCAATGATTATAGAATGAAATAGTCTGTGATTAACATATTACAATTGTTATACATACATTATAAAATGGGCAGGTGTTTTTATATTTCCTGTATCTCTGTATTAATCATTTCGGACTGTAATTAGGACTGTTCACGTGAAAGAAATTGTATCTAAATTTTACAATGACGTACTCGTATGTGACGAAATTTACATTTCTTGACCCTATTTTGAAGAACCATACCTCGGTTAGAATTCAATGTTCTTCCAGGAATTATTGGTTGGTTATTGTTTAGCAAAATAGAACTCAAGTTTAACAATGCTGAGTTTAATTTTACTAAGTTACTGAAATGTGACGAAATTTACTTTTCCTGCCCCAACAGTATAATTTCAATGTGATGAAAAATTGGCATGTATAAATCCATTCTAACTATAATAAGGACTATTGATATGAAAGAAAATCTATCTAAATTTTAAAATGACGTATGTGACAAAATTTACATTTCTTGCCCCTATTTTGAAGAACCATACCTCGGTTAAAATTCAATTTTCTTCCAGGAATTATTGGTTGGTTATTGTTCAGCAAATTAGAACTCAAGTTTAACAATGCTGAGTTTAATTTTACTAAGTTATTGAAATGTGACGAAATTCACTTTTCCTGCCCCAACAGTATAGTTTCAATGTGATGAAAAATTGGCATGGGTTTCTACATTTCTTGTATAAATCCATTCCGACTATAATAAGGACTATTGGTAGGAAATAAAATCTATCTAAATTTTAAAATTACGTATGTGACGAAATTTACATTTCTTGCCCCTATTTTAAAGAACCATACCTCAGTTAAAATTCAATTTTCTTCCAGGAATTATTGGTTGGTTATTTTTCAGCAGATCAGAACCCAAGTTTAACAATGCTGAGTTTGATATCACTAATTTACCGAAATGTGACGAAATTTACTTTTCCTGCCCCAACAGACCAACAGTATAATTTCAATGTGATGAAAAATGGGCATGGGTTTCTATATTTCCTGTATAAATCCATTCTAGCTATAATAAGGGCAGTTGATATGAAAGAAAATCTATCTAACTAATGCTATGGCTGATGTGACGAAATTTACATTTCTTGCCCCTATTTTGAAGAATCATACCTCAATTAGTATATAATGTTACTTTATCACCATCACTATGTCGATAAATTAGTTATTTTGCCAACACGGAGCAAATAAAGTTATAATATTTTTTTTGTGACGAAATTTACAAATTTTTACCCTGTTCAGGTGTTGAAATTTTGCCAATGTTAACATATCACTGCCATATAATAATTTATATGACCGGCGTATGGTTGAAATATTGTTAATTGATCCATAGTACGTAATATAGGGTGTTTAAGTTGGTATACTAATATTTACTCAATTTCACACATGTTGAGATATCATACAAATTTATGTGACTAAATTTACCTATTTCTGCCTTCTGTATTTGTATTTGCCTATAACAATGAAATATGTGAACAATTCCAAACACATTCAGCTCACAAAATAATGCTAGACTATTCGGCATTTCTTGTCAGGATGCATAAACATCCCTCATATAAATTTCTTAAATGTGTGACGGAGTTTACATGGTGCTACCATTTAACGAAAAAAGTCGCTAAATATGTAGATAATAGTCATATGCAACTATCCTATAAATTTGAAATTCGAAAATTTGGTCAAACACGGCAACAAGGGGTCCATATAAACTCTGTCACATTTTTATAGTGTGACAAAGTTTACAACTCACTGCCGGCCGCATTTAAGCGATATCTTATCGTCTGATAAAGATATCGTTATGCGACAAAGTTTATCTAGAGGATGAAACGATTATCCTAACCATTGAGGGTTTATATAGTTTTATAGTGTGACACATTTTACATCATCGTGCCATTTAGTAGGGTCACTAATATTTACCAATATCCTCAAACTTCAATGAACGTGTCCATATACACTATACAGGACAACGGTCAACGAGAGTGAGAATTAAGCTTTCTGTTGGTAATGAAACCTGACTCAGCACATTCGTAATAATATGTCTGTTAAAGAACATTCATTAAAATCAAACCCATTCATCGTGACAACCCTGTGTCATGTGACAACCTTGGTTATGACTCATGACGTTCCCTTGTTAATAATGTTACTAATCGCCTTATCGTCATCATTCATGTTGCAATACATTTCAATCATATAACTTTAGAATAAAACGAAGGCGTTGTACAGTAACTATTTAAGTAATCCTTATTTCTCAAATAACTTTGAATTAGGTTGGAGGTCGAGGTCGGAGCAATTTAATATAAATTTGATATTTATCATAATCATTATTATATTATGACGACCCATTTATAGCAATTCACTGCTGAATAATAATGTGCACTGGGCAGCATTACCACATTTGGTATTATGATTCCTGTATAACTACATAACGTTTTTAAAAATTGTGTAACTTGCAAAACGCAAGAAAGTTGCGAAATTTGGAGATTGTGGAGAGAGATGTTTGAATAACTGTTTAACAGTTTAAAGGGATGTTTCAATGTTTTAAAAGAATGTTTCCATGTTTTAAAGGAATGTTAATTGTTCAAATGGGAAGTATTACCTGGTCCTGAGTGTCCATGTCACAGAGCCCCAGACTCAACATATCCTCCATAGGTTTCAACAGCGTCTCATTGAAGGAAAAGTGTGGCAACTCAACCTGAAATATTACAGATATTTGAAATATTACAGATATTGGAAGGAAAAGTGTGGCAACTCAACCTGAAATATTACAGATATTTGAAATATTTGGATGGTGTACTCCGTGCTGGTTTGAAATAACGACTAAATCTTTATCAAAATGTAATATAAAATCCTTTATATTTCCACAAAATCTTCACAAAGATGAAAACATAATTCCTAAAAGGCTTAGAACTCAAACAAAAGACTTTACATACAACTGGTATCCACTGAACTAACCCGTTTTCTCATAACTTCAGTAAGGATCTGGTGGTAGCTGGTGATGGCGAGCTTACTGATGGTTCTATCTGCATGACAGGCTGCTTCTGTAAAGTGAGTCGATACTATCGACCACACCTGTTTAATAGAACTAAATAGTGGCATGTTATTTCACACACACACGGCATTGCGTTGTATTGGCAGTTTGTTAACCATCCTATATTTGTTCCTAAAAATGTAGCCTCAGGAAAAAACAAAGTTTTTAAACACAAGGAAATGTTTTACCTGCATCATATTGAGTAGGGAGTGTGAGCTTCTTGAGCAGAGAAGTACTAGTTCAGTCAGTCTGTGCAGATGTAACACAGATGTCGCTACCTGGTGAATGTGTGTAAGTGAGGATTCTGGTGGGGACTGGGGAGGTGATATTTTTTTGACATGTGACAGTGATTCTGGGTTTGACGGGCCAATTATAGTGGAAGCTGATTCGTTAATTTCTGTCACGTGTCAAAAAATATGCTTCACCTCCCTATCAGAATCCACACCTATAACCAAACGAAAATAATTTTCTGAATTGCGAACGCAGTCATCAATACTCATCGTTGCCATTCAACTTGATCTAATAGTAAGAAGATTTATTCCCGAGTAGAATGTTGTTGAACAATCGAAGAAACCCAAAATACAAGCACCGGGAAATAAACATTTTGTTATATAATCCGTTTGATCGAATCTATAATAAGGAGTCTCATTTTCGATACATACCGGTGGTAGTGTTCTGCTCATGGCTTTCGTGGATTTCGGAGAAGCAGAATGCTCCAGGGGTCTTCCGAACAGCTGGATCTGTGAAGACTTTACTAATGCCTCCAAGAACGAGCTGATAAGGGGGGAAATAGTTAAACTTCATTTGTTAAACAGATAAACATAAATATAGGTCCGATTAGAGGTAATAGCATCGTATAGTGTACGCTAAGTATAGTGTAAACCATTTATCATGTTACCATGGTAACTGGGACATGCTCTCCATATTTTAAACACTGATACCAGGAATTCCGCTGAAAAGCACACCTGGTGATAAACAAAGAAAAGCCACAAGCGCCAGCTACAAAGCGGTTTTAACTTAGTTTTAGTTTAGTTAATTCAACTTAATTTAGTTTATTTAACAAAATCACACATGTTTCAGTAATACATGTGACCGGCCATTTAACAGTAGAATTCATAGATTATTATCTCAACATAGAATTTGATGGTATAATTATCGCCTCATTGAGACATATTCATAACAACATTATTTGTCACACATCTGACACATATATTTTTCAGGGGATACAGCAGAAAGCACATTCATAAAACGCACGAAAGCATGAAGCACATGAATATACGAGCGGGGTTTGGTTATTACCCTAATGGGCCCTGACTCTTGGGGGTAGATCTACAAGCCAGACTGCCCCGAAGGCAGCAGTATCCTAACCCTCCGCTGAAGAGGAAACAGTTTTTAGTGAAAAAATATTAGTTTCAGGGGATGGTGACAGTTCGGTAAGGTTTTATAATATTAGTTTCAGGGGATGGTGACAGTTTGGTAAGGTTTTATATCTCAATATTAGTTTCAGGGGATGGTGACAGTTCGGTAAGGTTTTATAATATTAGTTTCAGGGGATGGTGACAGTTTGGTAAGGTTTTATATCTCAATATTAGTTTCAGGGGATGGTGACAGTTTGGTAAGGTTTTAATATTAGTTTCAGGGGATGGTGACAGTTTGGTAAGGTTTTAATATTAGTTTCAGGGGATGGTGATAGTTTGGTAAGGTTTTATATCTCTGGGATCGTGGGATGGCGCGGGTCCATGACATCAGTTAATTCTCTGCACTTTATTCCCACGATCAAAGCCGCTCCAATACACCAAGAGCACCCATTTAGGTTATCCGAGAACACGATTAAACATCACAGCAGTAAAGCCACCACATTCCAACATACCTGAGGGGTTCAGTAGAGAGGTGAGAGACTGCGGAGCTGAAGAGTTTGTCAGCTGAGGAGGCGAGGAGAGCTACAGCTTTAGTGCTGACTTCGTTATTTAGTACTCCACTGTACGTTCCACTGAGAGGTTACTGATTATAGTCAATATTGATGGGATAGAGGCTTTGGGGCACGATGAAAGAAAGCCGCTGATGGAATTTAACAACCCTTATTCAACTTTTAGTAATTCTATTCCCCCGGCCTCCCTCCTCAGGTGCTAATAACCCTTACTAACGCCCCTGGCCATATACTAAGGTCCACCTACCTGAAGAGTCCCCTAGGAGTGTTGGTGATATCGAACTGTTGAGTCTCCTGTTGTAACAGCTCCGCTACTCCTCCCTCTGACGCCTCCTCCGACATCATCAGCTCTCTGATTGGTTACTTCATTAGTTTCATACATTCTAGTCGCGTTTGCAACTAGTAAAGAAGCGCTTTTAATCAATAAAGCACTTATGGTTAAACTTTAGCCCAGAGTATGTGTTGTTTATAATGATCAAAAAATATTCCCCAGATCAATAGCTCCATTGTCTTATCATCAGGAAAGTGAAAGAGAAAGTGTGATTAGCTAAGAGTACCACCACTAGTGCTGGTGGTGGAGACAGTGTGAAAGACAAAGTGAAAGAGAAAGTGAGAGAGAAAGTGTGATTACCTAAGAGTACCACCACTGGTGCTGGTGGTGGAGAGTGGAGATAGTGTGAAAGAGAAAGTGAAAGAGAAAGCGAAAGCGAAAGAGAAAGTGAAAGTGAAAGAGAAAGTGAAAGAGAAAGTGAAAGAGAAAGTGAAAGTGTGATAACCTGAGAGTACCACCACTGGTGCTGGTGGTGGAGACAGTCTCCTCACTCTTACTGTGTGCGAACTTGGTGTGCTCCAACAGGGAGATGTACGCGCAGCACTTGAACACATGCTTCCAACACTTCGGTTCAAACTAAGAGAGAGATAAGTTAGATAACAACCATGTGGAATGGGTAAAGCTGATTTATTTCAGTTTTGTCCTTTTGTCATAACCGCTCTAAGATTCCTGGCTAGCCGCTAGTGGCTATATTCAGGTGAACACAACCAACCAGGTTTCAGCGATAACTCTGAAACATTTACCTACTAAAAGAATACCAAAACATGGTTATCTTCAACAAGTCAACCCACCTGCCCGACGTCTAATCCAACATTAAGAACAGCGTCCATACTGAGCACGTGGGCGACGCGCAGCTCTGCGTTGTCAGTGGAGACTGTAGCTTGTTCCTTGTGGATACTGAGTCTCTTGACACTACTGCAGGAGATGTTAGCCAGGTGGGAGATCACTGTTGTACACTTGTTCTGCATTCCTGCAAATTGAGGATATGAGTCAGAGAGTCAGAGAGTTGGGAGCCAGCTGACTGAACAACAGTTTTAATGAATTGTTGAGATAATATTATGCGATTAATTATCTTAGTAAGTAAACTCTACTCCAAGCAGTCATCTGCCATGGGTTGATATAAACTTATAAAGTTAAACTAAATTTACAAGATCAGTAAATTAGTTACCTAGCTTGCAAGACAGAGTAGCAGCTCTCCTTAGACCGTCTAAACAGCAACATATCAGATCAGTTCGTGTAGTCAGGGACTTGGAACCCGCCCAAACCTCACTCAGTCGTGCTTTTAACTTGTGTGGTGCTTCAATAGGATTCTGAAATGTACAGGTTTACCTTGTGTCTCTAAGTTCTAACAGTTGCTGGAATGTACAGATTTTAGCTCCTTTTTTCTTGACCAAGAGGGAGGTGGGGGTACGGAAGTATTGCATGAAGATACTTTCCTTAGAATTACTATGAGGTAGAATTATTATCGTGTGCGGTGTGTAGCAACTGTATTACATTTAAAAGGCACAGGTCATCAGAGGTTTGATTTTGAGAGTGCGCCAAATAATACATCCTCAGAATATTCTCATGATGTTTGTAAATTGAGACATTGACCTGTGTTTAAACTGCAAGTCTTGTGTACACAATAGTCGATACATGTACAAACCAACAACTAATCTGGGAGTATCTGGTACCATTTATAAGAATGATAAAATCATTTGTAACTGGCACAGGTTATCGGCTGAAATCTATCCTAATATGTTGTGACTTACACTCAGAAAGTTACAAGTTTGGAATATAAACCACGATCTAACCGATTACCACACAGACTCTAAACCTCTAACCCTCTCTCTCTCCAACTGTACACACGTAGTACACTACACACCGAGTCTAGTTGCGGTACATTAGTAATAACCACGAGTGTGTATGTTCTGTAATGAGAGCATGTACTGAACAATTATACCAATCTCGTATCTCAACTCAGGAAACTACCTCCACACGTGGGCTCAATAGAGCTCTCTGATTGGTTAATGGATACCCACGTGGGCTAAATAGACCGTTCTGATTGGGTAGTCGTGAAAATGCGGTGATTTGATTGGTGGAGAGTTTAAGGCAGACTTAATGGTTTGCTTGGCGTGTATTAACGTACAGATTAGTTATAATCTCATAATTATTTCATCGGCAGAACGGCAGAATACGGCATGTTCATAGTCTGTACATTTGGCAACAGATGTGTTGTGAAGATGATGAGAGATTAAACATTTCACTGTTGATGAGTAGATGAGAGTTTTAATCGACTCACCCCCGAATATTCCCTATTCACCCCCGAATATTCCCTACTCACCCCCGAATATTCCCTACTCACCCCCGGATATTCCCTATTCACCCCAGAATATTCCCTGCTCACCCCCGAATATTCCCTACTCACCCCCGAATATTCCCTACTCACCCCCGAATATTCCCTACTCACCCCCGAATATTCCCTATTCACCCCCGAATATTCCCTGCTCACCCCTGAATATTCCCTACTCAATCCCTACATTTTACTACAATTTATACCCATGATCTTAGGGAGAACGTTATAAATATCACGTGGAATTCCAAAATTCAAAAGTAATTAGAGTTCAGAGAGGTGGTAATCGGAATGCTGTGAAGTATTCAAATCCAGAAATTTAGAGAATAGGATTCAAAATCGTAATGTAATGATGAAGTCTACGATAATCATCATTCCTGTACCAAAACTTGACCATTTCAGTGGTAAATCTAACTTCAGGACCATTATATCGTCGTCAGAACCAAAATCCAAAATTCTAAATTTCGCAAAAATGATTGCCAATGAGGTGAAATGCAATGGTGAAATGCAATGAATGTTACCTGTAAGACTTGAAGTATTTCCTCCCAGGTTCCTGAAAGAAGGAAACGTGCAAATCTCTGACAAGGTGTAAGGGGGGAGGTAGGTTGGGTGTTCTTCTGTACCTGAGAAATAGGTTACTAGGGTGGTTAGTGGTTACTAGAGTGGTTACTAGGGTGGTTAGTGGTAACTAGAGTGGTAACTAGGGTGGTTTCTAGGGTGGTAACTAGGGTGGTTACTAGAGTTGTAACTAGGGTGGTTACTAGAGTTGTAACTAGGGTGGTTACTAGAGTTGTAACTAGGGTGGTAACTAGGGTGGTTACTAGAGTGGTAACTAGAGTGGTAACTAGAGTGGTTACTAGAGTGCAGTGGTAACTAGGGTGGTAACTAGAGTGGTAACTAGAGTGGTAACTAGGGTGGTAACTAGAGTGGTTACTAGGGTGGTAACTAGAGTGGTAACTAGAGTGGTAACTAGAGTGGTTACTAGAGTGGTAACTAGGGTGGTAACTAGAGTGGTAACTAGAGTGGTAACTAGAGTGGTTACTAGAGTGGTAACTAGGGTGGTAACTAGAGTGGTAACTAGAGTGGTAACTAGAGTGGTTACTAGAGTGGTAACTAGGGTGGTTTCTAGGGTGGTTTCTAGGTTACTAGAGAGTGTTAGGCCGTTAGGGGGACGTAGATTGGGTGCTCTTCCGTACTTGATATGAGAAGTGTATTATGAGAATTATAAAGTAAAATACCAACATTGGTAGGCACGGCTTTATAGCGTATTCTGTATGGATGTATATTGTAATGTTAATGTATACAGCCTGACAGACGTTTTATCAATAATGAGGACACAAGGTATTGGTAGACTGGACTCTATTTTGTCCTTTTATGGTTGTACTAGGGGATTTTAGATTAGAATACATCCAATCAAATGGGAGCCTATAAGGCGACTGCTTATTTATTGTCATAGATTGGATAGAGTGTGTATTATATTATACTGCTCATTTGCTCAACCAAGCAGAACAGATTGGATTACAAAGCAGTTGAGGTTTCTTTGTCATGAATGCATTTCTAGCCAAACTACATAATAGAATATATTACAAACGTGTTCGTTTCTCGTTTACATATATTAGGTTCAAGACATCTGGATTTAAAGTTAACAATACTGGTTAAATGAGATAATATATTATGTATAAGTGGGATTTTAATGGAATATATGAATAACTGAGGTTAAATGAGATATGTTTAAGTGAGGATTTAATATACAAGTGAGGTTAAGTAGAGGTTAATTACCTGCGAGAACTTCTCAAGAAGAGAGAGTAGAGTGGAGGGTTTCCTCATGTCCCACTCAGACAGTGTGAGCAGATCCACTTCTAATATCGTCTTATAAATCTGAAGAGGTAGAAAGTAGTGTTAAGTGTGATGAGGAGGTAGAAAGTAGTGTTAAGTGTGATGAGGAGGTAGAAAGTAGTGTTAAGTGTGATGAGGAGGTAGAAAGTAGTGTTAAGTGTGATGAGGAGGTAGAAAGTAATGTTAAGTGTGATGAGGAGGTAGAAAGTAGTGTTAAGTGTGATGAGGAGGTAGAAAGTAGTGTTAAGTGTGATGAGGAGGTAGAAAGTAGTGTTAAGTGTGATGAGGAGGTAGAAAGTAGTGTTAAGTGTGATGAGGAGGTAGAAAGTAGTGTTAAGTGTGATGAGGAGGTAGAAAGTAGTGTTAAGTGTGATGAGGAGGTAGAAAGTAGTGTTAAGTGTGATGAGGAGGTAGAAAGTAATGTTAAGTGTGATGAGGAGGTAGAAAGTAGTGTTAAGTGTGATGAGCAGGTAGAAAGTAGTGTTAAGTGTGATGAGGATGTAGAAAGTAGTGTTAAGTGTGATGACGAGGTAGAAAGTAGTGTAAAGTGTGATGAGGAGGTAGAAAGTAGTGTTAAGTGTGATGAGCAGGTAGAAAGTAGTGTTAAGTGTGATGAGGAGGTAGAAAGTAGTGTTAAGTGTGATGAGGAGGTAGAAAGTAGTGTTAAGTGTGATGAGGAGGTAGAAAGTAGTGTTAAGTGTGATGAGCAGGTAGAAAGTAGTGTTAAGTGTGATGAGGAGGTAGAAAGTAGTGTTAAGTGTGATGAGCAGGTAGAAAGTAGTGTTAAGTGTGATGAGGAGGTAGAAAGTAGTGTTAAGTATGATGGGCAGGTAGAAAGTAGTGTTAAGTGTGATGAGCAGGTAGAAAGTAGTGTTAAGTGTGATGAGGAGGTAGAAAGTAGTGTTAAGTGTGATGAGGAGGTAGAAAGTAGTGTTAAGTGTGATGAGGAGGTAGAAAGTAGTGTTAAGTGTGATGAGGAGGTAGAAAGTAGTGTTAAGTGTGATGAGGAGGTAGAAAGTAGTGTTAAGTGTGATGAGGAGGTAGAAAGTAGTGTTAAGTGTGATGAGGAGGTAGAAAGTAGTGTTAAGTGTGATGAGGAGGTAGAAAGTAGTGTTAAGTGTGATGAGGAGGTAGAAAGTAGTGTTAAGTGTGATGAGGAGGTAGAAAGTAGTGTTAAGTGTGATGAGGAGGTAGAAAGTAGTGTTAAGTGTGATGAGGAGGTAGAAAGTAGTGTTAAGTGTGATGAGGAGGTAGAAAGTAGTGTTAAGTGTGATGAGGAGGTAGAAAGTAGTGTTAAGTGTGATGAGGAGGTAGAAAGTAGTGTTAAGTGTGATGAGGAGGTAGAAAGTAGTGTTAAGTGTGATGAGGAGGTAGAAAGTAGTGTTAAGTGTGATGAGGAGGTAGAAAGTAGTGTTAAGTGTGATGAGGAGGTAGAAAGTAGTGTTAAGTGTGATGAGGAGGTAGAAAGTAGTGTTAAGTGTGATGAGGAGGTAGAAAGTAGTGTTAAGTGTGATGAGGAGGTAGAAAGTAGTGTTAAGTGTGATGAGGAGGTAGAAAGTAGTGTTAAGTGTGATGAGGATGTAGAAAGTAGTGTTAAGTGTGATGAGGAGGTAGAAAGTAGTGTTAAGTGTGATGAGGAGGTAGAAAGTAGTGTTAAGTGTGATGAGGAGGTAGAAAGTAGTGTTAAGTGTGATGAGGAGGTAGAAAGTAGTGTTAAGTGTGATGAGGAGGTAGAAAGTAGTGTTAAGTGTGATGAGGAGGTAGAAAGTAGTGTTAAGTGTGATGAGCAGGTAGAAAGTAGTGTTAAGTGTGATGAGGAGGTAGAAAGTAGTGTTAAGTGTGATGAGCAGGTAGAAAGTAGTGTTAAGTGTGATGAGGAGGTAGAAAGTAGTGTTAAGTGTGATGAGGAGGTAGAAAGTAGTGTTAAGTGTGATGAGGAGGTAGAAAGTAGTGTTAAGTGTGATGAGGAGGTAGAAAGTAGTGTTAAGTGTGATGAGGAGGTAGAAAGTAGTGTTAAGTGTGATGAGGAGGTAGAAAGTAGTGTTAAGTGTGATGAGGAGGTAGAAAGTAGTGTTAAGTGTGATGAGGAGGTAGAAAGTAGTGTTAAGTGTGATGAGCAGGTAGAAAGTAATGTTAAGTGTGATGAGGAGGTAGAAAGTAGTGTTAAGTGTGATGAGGAGGTAGAAAGTAGTGTTAAGTGTGATGAGGAGGTAGAAAGTAGTGTTAAGTGTGATGAGGAGGTAGAAAGTAGTGTTAAGTGTGATGAGGAGGTAGAAAGTAGTGTTAAGTGTGATGAGGAGGTAGAAAGTAGTGTTAAGTGTGATGAGGAGGTAGAAAGTAGTGTTAAGTGTGATGAGGAGGTAGAAAGTAGTGTTAAGTGTGATGAGGAGGTAGAAAGTAGTGTTAAGTGTGATGAGGAGGTAGAAAGTAGTGTTAAGTGTGATGAGGAGGTAGAAAGTAGTGTTAAGTGTGATGAGGAGGTAGAAAGTAGTGTTAAGTGTGATGAGGAGGTAGATAGTAGTGTTAAGTGTGATGAGGAGGTAGAAAGTAGTGTTAAGTGTGATGAGGAGGTAGAAAGTAATGTTAAGTGTGATGAGGAGGTAGAAAGTAGTGTTAAGTGTGATGAGGAGGTAGATAGTAGTGTTAAGTGTGATGAGGAGGTAGAAAGTAGTGTTAAGTGTGATGAGGAGGTAGAAAGTAGTGTTAAGTGTGATGAGGAGGTAGAAAGTAGTGTTAAGTGTGATGAGGAGGTAGAAAGTAGTGTTAAGTGTGATGAGCAGGTAGAAAGTAGTGTTAAGTGTGATGTTGATTGTTGGTGTGATATAATGTGATATTTTTTAGGACATTTAAAAAAGAAAATTATAAATGTCTATCAATCATTATTATGATTTCACAACTTAACATTAAATTATGAAAAGGAAATGTTACCTAACGTAATTAGACCACTATAGGAAAACTAATATGTACCTCTTGTAACCAGATGGGAGATACGAGGATTACACCCCCAGAACCTTGCACCCACTCAACAAACTGAGACTCTGAAACCGGAACACTGCTCGAACTACTGCTCCTCCGGGCTCTGATTATTTTATTTAAATTACATATTATTCTCCGATTAGGCCATATTAAGTCAGTTAGTTATGATGATATGAGAATATTTATTTAGTGCTAAAGTTCCCTCTTCAAGATGATATGATAATCTTCAAACGATTCTCAAAATTTTAAAACAATTCTCAAAATCCTGGATTATATGTATATTTCTTCTTTTTCCCCCATGAAATTCTATCGTAATTTCAGGCGTTTAACCACCAGCATATCATGTGATAGATAACACTAACGTGTAGTAGTGAGCCTGATGGAGCCGTCTAGTGAGATCCAGAGACATGTAAGTAGCCACGTAGACACTGTCAGCGTTGAGCAGGGGGAGTTGCACGCTCTCCTGGCGCACTTGCGCGCACATGTCACTTGCAAACTGCTGGATTGACAGGTCTAGTGTGTGTGGGTCCCTGGGAAAGGAAGATATTGTTAGAGTTATAATTATTGTAGCTATCTTTAGGGTAATACTGTAAAGGTGGTGCGAGGAGAATTCTTGTCATTATTAACATATTTTGACCCTAATCCTTACCCTCCATATTACCACTATTCTCTGCTGTTAGTGTTAAACTAACACACTGAATGAGTCCCACAAAACAACATTCCTAACTACACCAACTAACATTCCTAACTAACATTCCTATCTACACCAACTAACATTCCTAACTAACATTCCTAACTACACCAACTAACATTCCTAACTAACATTCCTAACTAACATTCCTAACTAACATTCCTAACTACACCAACTAACATTCCTAACTAACATTCCTAACTACACCAACTAACATTCCTAACTAACATTCCTAACTACACCAACTAACATTCCTAACTAACATTCCTAACTACACCAACTAACATTCCTAACTAACATTCCTAACTACACCAACTAACATTCCTAACTAACATTCCTAACTACACCAACTAACATTCCTAACTAACATTCCTAACTACACCAACTAACATTCCTAACTAACATTCCTAACTACACCAACTAACATTCCTAACTAACATTCCTAACTACACCAACTAACATTCCTAACTAACATTCCTAACTACACCAACTAACATTCCTAACTAACATTCCTAACTACACCAACTAACATTCCTAACTAACATTCCTAACTACACCAACTAACATTCCTAACTAACATTCCTAACTACACCAACTAACATTCCTAACTAACATTCTTAACTACACCAACTAACATTCCTAACTAACGTTCCTAACTACACCAACTAACTCGATGTGAAGAAGATAAGAAAGAAACTGGAGAAGAGACTTGATAAACTCCTTAGCACTCTGCTTATCCTCCTCCTCGTTATCAGATGAGGCGGAGGATGCTGGGGTTGCATCTTCTGTTTCCTTTGCTAGGGTCTCTGGAGAAGAGGATGAGATAAGAGGTGTAGGAAGTAGTTGTAGGAAGTAAAGGGTTTTGGGATGATTCTGAATTTCAAATCAACCAATTTTTTAAAAAAATAACAGAAAATGCGTAACAACTTGAGAATTATAATAATCCTACCTGATTGGTTAGGTATGACAGGTATTTCAGTATCCTGAGGGAAGACTGAGTCTGTAACATCTACCTCCTCGCTCAGAGCAACCTGCTTATCTTCTCCTCCCTCTTCCTCCTCATCTGTCTCACATGTCCTCTCTGAGGCAAACTTGGTTACTAATCATCAAGTCTCTAGGATACAGTGTTGGTGAGAACTGTGGGATTCTTAGATTCACAGCACCAACAACTATTGCAGATTTTAGATTGTGATCATTCAGACAAGAGATCTAGAACAAAACAATTAACTAATTATTAATTAGATAATTAACTTCGTGTCCACCTGTCCTAACAAGATCTGTGGTATGAGTCTCCGCATCAGACTCTGCAGTAAAGAATGTTTGTACAGGGGGAGCAGGTCCGGGGGTGAAGATATCCTCTGTTTCACTTACTGTTTCACTCTCATCCTCTCCTGCATCGTACGACTGAAATTATTTAAATAGTTGGATAAATGTAGTTGTAGGTAGTTAAATAGTAATAATTTTCATCTGCAATTGAGTCTTTATCCAATTAAGTGATTACCAATGTATTACCTGTAATTGAGAGTCCATGTCCTCGATAGCCCCACTTATCCTCTCCATATGCTCGATAGTAACACCGTTACTGTTAGAAAGTTGCTGGATGGAGTCTAACAGTGCTACAATAACACTGGCGCTCATTCCCAGCATAGTGCTGTCACCACACAGGGAGGACTGAGTCACCCCGTCTATCAGCATCTGAGAGTGGGGGAGGTTACACATATTTTACATATTTTACATATTTTACATATTTTAAATATTTTAAATATTTAAGTACATTTAAGTTAATGTACATTTTACAGTGTAAAATAACACAACTTTACTGTTTACAATGCACATTATACAACAGTACCTTTTTTGTAAACTACCACAGACTTACAAATATCATAATTTGCTCAAGTGCAAGTGTGCATCTTGAAATTGATCATATTATACTTTAAAAGTTTGGTGCTATACTTTCACTACAGTGAACCAACGTAACAATCTCTACATCCATATCTCATTATATTACATTATATCTCATTATATTACATTATATCTCATTATATTACATTATATCTCATTATATTACATTATATCTCATCATATTTCATTATATCTCATTATGCAACATTATATCTCATTAAATTACATCCCGACACGCACATTAACATACATGGTGGTGTTACATTAAAAAATGAAGCAATTCCAAAGCTTTTGCCTGATAAATTGGATAAAATGAAGAAGCTACCGACTTGGTATAATCGATGTGTCATTCTGAAAAGGAATAATAATTGCTGTTCTGAGCTTACCTTTAAAAGCGCAAAGTCTATCCGAGCTATACCTTTCTCTTGGACAACGCATAGGTCTGTCTAGTAACCTTGGGTTCTTAAATACTTCCTGGATAAAATGTTAAAATAATATAATAGTATAATAATAAAATAGTATAATATGATATAGCATTATGTACGATATTATGATATTGTATTACATTATCTACTATATTATGATATGTTATCTGCAATATTTACACTGATTAAACTTGGCAGCAGATTGCATGAATTATTTAGTCACTTAGTCACTTATAATAAAAACATACTCTGTACTCAATCTACATAATATGCTAATATTTAGTAAACTAACCTTGACTCCCTCTAGAGCATGTCTCCTGAGATGAGGTGGAGGAAACATGATGATCCTGTGAAAGAGTGAAGCTAAGACAGGTCGCAGGAAGGCCTGGTGCCCCACTAATCGCACTAACTGGGTGGCAATTGAGTGGCAGCTTTTGGTGCAGGAGTTGGTCACATCTGTGTTAACGGTGTGGATGTGCAGCAGGTCTTTTATCGTGTGGGGGTGGGAGGTGTGTACCTGGGTTGGGGGTTATTATATTTGACTGTATCCTAGATAATGCAGACAATTTCAATCATGATAATAGGAGAATAACAATAACGGATAACTAAGAGAATAACAATAACGAAGAAGTAGATTGTAAATTAACATACCTTGCCCCTCTGTGCAGCTTTGTCGACCATTGGGTTGCCAAGCAACTGTATAAGGGAGGGGCACAGCTGTTGCCACACAATGTCAGTGAACATGGTGTGTTGAACCAGGGTGGGAGGTGTACTGCTCAGTAGTGTTACCAGACCGTCCAAGTAATGCCTACAAACAGTTATTATTACCTTTAAAGTTATAGAGATGAATCTAATAATCAACAGTAATTAGAACAAACAGTTATTTATGTATTAAAGCAAGGCGCCCAAACAATGAAAACTTGATGTTCTTTCAGTTACTCACTTGAGATACACCTCTACAATTGCTTGTTGGCGCATCGCTGTGTTTCGGTTGGGAACCTTTCCTACCAGCCATTTTAAAATCTCTATATAATCGTCCACCTGAAAAAAGATGCTTTATAAACAATGTGACAGTGCAAAACACAGACGGAATCGCACAAGGAAATCAGAAGCAAAAACTAAAACATTTGTTAAATGACCGTTAAAACCAGTAAGTTTTAACAGAGGGATATTTAAATACTAACCTCTGGAGAAGACGACAATTCTCCCTCCGCAGCCAGAGTTCTAGGTAACTGAGACAACATCTGAAGGAAAGTGGAGTGGGCCAACGCCTTCTGGGAGGTTTCCTTGTGTTTGACAGCCTGTTCCAAACACAATTCCAACATCTTTATAATAAGATCGTGGTGAACTTCTCGTATGTCTGAACACACTACCGCCAGACACAGCTTGTAGATTTCGTGAAAGTGCTCGTCGTTCGTTCCAGGGTAACGCAATGTTAACTCGACAATCTTCACCGCAAGAGGGGTCTAGAGAATAATCTATGAATCAGGAGATGAAAAAATAAGCTGTTCATAGGTTTGAGAAGACAGGAATGACAATTAATACTGTTCTCATTCTCAAGATAAAACTACACCATACAAAAATTGTTCCTCCAAGTATTAATTGTTAACATTTCAAATTTAAGGGGGGTAAATGTATAGCTAGACATTAGCTCCAAAAGAAACCTTATTTGGGTTAAGGGAAGTAGCTTTGAGTAGAGGATCGCTTAGTAAATGCCTGAAACCAGCAACAGCAAGAATACAAAATCGAGGTAGTTTGGTATCATATGCCAGTTTCAGGGGAAGGAAACAATAGCTGCGGACAGTAAGAACTTCTTTCTGATTGGAAGCCAGTTCTTCAAGAGCATCATTACACGTTTCCTGCATTATTCAGATTATTGATAGAATCACAATATATAATATATTATGCAATATTAAAACATTATGGAACTTGGAAGCCTTTCTGAAACACATTCTATTGCATAATAATAATTTAAAATAGTATGAAACAGCCCAATCACCTGTATATTCCGGTACTTTGAAGCTTCCTTCTGTAGAGTTAGCAGAACTTCTTTAATAGGTGAAGCCGAATGTGGCTCGGGTATATTTGTGAGATTAGGGTTAATTGGAACATGCTCAACAGGCAAATCTACTGCTTGCTTAGCTTCAGCGATCTCTGTGCTGGTAAATTCTTCGTACTGATTGAGGGATGTATTTGTGGAAGACCCTGCAGATGTGCTCCGAGAGTTACTCCTACGATTAACTGCAATAAAATCTGGCTTGGATACAGGTAAATGATTTTGCTCAGTTTCTGACATCTGTTCATGATCTTCTGTATCAGTCAAATTTTCTGCTGAAATCTCAGGTATAGATTTCGATGGAGACGTTCTGTCTGATAGATGATCACATTCACTGACATTAACATCATCTGTAGATAGGTCACTGGCTTCTGTGACGGAATTAACATTAATGGATGATTCATCGGCCAAATAAGAGTCGGTTAAATGCTCAGTGGAAGATGAATCATCGTTATTTGTCTTCGTTACCTCTGAAGAGGTTTCACTTTCTGAGTTTTCCTCACTTTCTGATTGATGATGTTCTTTGTAGTCTGACCCATTTTCATCTGGGAGTTGTGCTTGACAAATTGAATCGTTTGGTACTATCTCAACATTTTTATTGGTTTCTTTTTTATGTACTTCAGGTGATGATGCTAGCATTTCATAGTGTATTCAGAGCTAGCTGTAGATTATAGACTGAGATAAAATTAATTGAAATTGTTTGAACCAAAAGTGTAATATATACTTTACAATCGAATAAATAAGATAGGTATGATAGATAAATAATAATGAACAAAGTTTAATTTTATAAGTATTTGCGTCAGTTATATAAGGAACTATATATGATGCTGTAAAGGATGCAGTAAATCAGATCAGAACTCTGTTAGTAGTACACCAAACTAGGGAGATAGATATTAAATATAATAGTGGAATCTGCCATGAATAAAATGTGGACATAATAATTTGAATAAATGATTTTAGTGGTATTTACAAGATTGTTTAGGAATAATTGGTTGAAGCGTATCAATTAATTGTCGGCACTGATGTCATTATGGTTTAATCGCTGTGTTTTGATTTAAAGTAAAGTAAAGTAAAGTAAAAACCGAAATATATTTAAGATTTTACTCAGTTAAACACAAATTATGTTATTGCCCTGTTGTTATTATTCTGGTATTTGACCAAAAATTGCCAATTTGCCAATTTGCCAATTTTTCTGCGCAGATCTCCAATGCCTGATCTGCAAGCTCGCCGCGCCGATACTGATCATGGGGCCTAATTGATCTGTGATCTATCAAACTGCACAGCTGTAGCAACTAGCATGTGCGGCCCCGTGCCGAACTATACTCATTGTATAAATTCTCGTTTCTAGTTTGCTGCGGCCTGTTATGTGTGTACTAGTGTACTAGCTGTGTAGAAAATGTGTGTGTGCTACTTGTTAGATGCTAGTAAGTACTTGTAGGTTTATAACCTACCAAGATGCACGCCGAGTTGGACTCTTCGTCGGTCTAATATCTTGTCTTGTGTATTGATATTTATATTGATTATATAGTATTGTTATTATTGAATGAAGCTAACTCCAGACATAAATAATACTACTTCTTTTAACAAAGGGACTTTTCACAAGGGTGGATGCGTAAACTTTACGGTCTGCACTCTCCTATCCTTGTCATACGTTGTATACATAAATAATTTTACTTCTTTTAGCAAAGGGACTTGGAGTATAAACGACGAAGTTTGCATAAATTTCTATCCAACCAAGACTTCAGGAGGCAGAGGTGGGTGTGTAAACTTTATGGTCTGCACTCTCCGATCCTGTATCACCCTGGATTCTTTACGACGTATCTTTGTAAAAGGTATATACCTTTTAGTCAATCTCTTGCTACTCCAAGACCCCTAGTATATCTGATCTAAAGTTCGTGCTTGTTATATAATATATATAGGAGTGCAAAGAGACAAAATATCTTGGCCTCATTCTAGATAGTGAATTAAACTTCAAAAGCCATGTAGATTATATTATTAGGAAGGTCATGAAGAGAATTGGTGCCATGTATAGAAGTAAAGCACTGCTACCCATTAAATATAGGAAAATGTTTGCCAATGCACTCATGTTGCCACAATTCGATTATTTAGACACGATCTATTGTAGAGCTGGCAAGACAAAACTTGCTGAACTTGACACTCTGTACAAAAAGGTAGCCAAAATAGCTCTCAACGTTCCACAAACAGAGAGCAGCCTTAATGTTTATAGAGACATGAAATGGTTACCACTCCATCTTAGACGACAACTCCATCTGTCAAATTATATGTTTAGAATCATCCATGACAATTGTCCTACAAACTTTATGAACAAATTTAGTTACATATCAGGAGGTAGTAGGAGCGGCGAAAGCTGCAACCTATATGTTAATAGATCAACATCACATAAAAACTTTCAATACTTGGGGGCAAAATGTTGGAATAATGTTCCAACAGATCTACGAAATCTGCCCGATGTTAAAAGCTTTAGTGATTCGTAAACAGCTACTCTCATCTATAACAACAGACCCTAATTATACCGTCGACAATTCATATGACAAATTTTACACTGCAATCATAGTCGACGATAACTAAGTATCTTCTAATTCTTTTAAATCTGAGGCATATATAATTGATGTATCGAAAGGATATTCCCTTTTTTACCACCTTACCATTCTGATTGATTTTTCACATGACTGACATGTTTTAACTGGAGAAGGGGTTCGCACAGTGGTAGTTTTATAAACCACTTTTAATTTATTGACCTATTATACCTAGTGGTAGTTTTATAGACCACATTTAATTTATTAACTTATTATACTTAGTATTTATTTTTGGTGACTGTATCACCCAGTTTTAACATTTGATAATTGTACAGTTTATTGACGACACATTGACTGAATGTTATTTTATATTCTAATCTATATTCTAGATATTTTATTTATTTTTCAACAGACGACAACTTCCTGTTTTTTTCTTCTATATTAGTTACTCATATCTCTCGTACAGACTGTTTTACAAGGACATTGACAGATGATACTCACATTAGGCATTCATTATTGCATCTAAATTATTTCACTTGCATTAGGTTTAGAAATTTATTCTCTGGTTAACAGATTTCAAATGTTTAATTAATTTGTAGTATGACAGTAAGGTATATAATAGTTATTTAATTTTGCTTGGGCTATTATATTGACTATTGAGGTTTAATGATGATATGGAATTTGAATTTTATATAAATTTACACTATGTGGTTGGGGCATTTTGCATAGTAAATATGGTTACTACTCCTATATATCATATTATTTGATTGGTATTCGATTTCTGATTATTTCCCTAGGAATATGATTATTATATCTCAATTTGGCTTTAGGTAGGGTGCCCCGCTAAAAGAACTGGATTCTTCCAGGAAGCATCCCGTGCACAGAGCTTGGTCTACATATATATTAAATTATTAACCATTCATTCTGTATGTGCACGAAAATTTATTTCAATCAATATATATGAAATATATTTTTGTCTGCTTTAATTGATACTAAATAAAATATTTGTTTTCTTGAATTGTTGGTTTCTTGTTTTCTTGGAACAAATATTTTGACAGGATTTACAGACGGCAATAATTTATTCGAGTTTATTTTATACGTTATAATTGCTGTACTCTGTAAAGTTTGAAAAGTATTAAATAAAAAACAAGTCCAACTCGGCGCTAGTCCAACCTACAAAAATTAAAACATAGAAATGATTACGCTAGTGTAATTTTGACACAATACACAATTTTGACACAATGCACAATGTGCAAAACTTACTATGGAGGGGAGGGGTTAAAAATTAATAAACGATGTCGTAGCTCGGCGAGGCCCAGTTGCGCATTTTGCCGATCTAACGAAGTTAGATGTTGTTGCGAGATCGAAGCATTATTGGATACGCGGCGCGGCCCAGTAACGCGCATCGCGCTACAAGTTTAAAAGTTAATAATTTTAATTATCACAAAGCCAAAAAGTTTCTGGGGGCTTCGTTGACGGATATTGCTACTAGACTTGTTTAAATTTCTTCGAAGTAGCGCGCGCCGCGTTAATCCATTAACAATCGGATATTCACCCAGGCCAGCCATTGAGCCATGAGTCTACGCGTATAATTGGTTAAGGAGTTGCTCTAACCAGAGCCCTCTCACTGCGTGACGCGCTTGTTTCACAAAAATATGTGCGCGCTACTGCAACTGAGATTCGATCGAGAGGGCTCTCGATAGAACAAAATTAAATAAACATCTAGTAAAACATTGACCATTGTTAATGATCTGGCCCGGCGCGCGCTACTTCGTAGCACTTGCCGTCGAGAAGAAAGCGGCGCGCGCTACTTCGAAGAAATTTAGACAAGTAACATCCGTCAAGTAAAACACAAATAGTTTTAAGATTTTACCTAGAATCATGGGAATTCGTGCTTTGCGGTATAACTATTTGACGTGGTTGTTTAATGCCTTAGCTTCATCCTTTGCCGCGCCGCCGATCGGTTAACTAGGTTAATTTTGAAAGAAGTTATAACTTAACAATGCGCGCAATTTTGGAAGTAAAGATTAGGGTTAGAGTTATATTGTTTAGGGTTAAAGTTAATTTGAGGGTTCCGGTTAGTTAATAGTTAGGAAATCAAAGTATGGGCCGCGGCCAGTGTTATTTGAAGTGGGATAGATCGACTAGTGTTACAAAATAGTCCCTCTTACCGGTGGGGACCCCAGGCTATTATATGTTCATAAACATAATAAACCGAATAAAGGTTCGGCGGAATGACAGGCTGAGCGCCGCCCAGTAAGGTCCCTCGAACCAAATACTTTCTCCAGGACATAATACTCAATTTTAAAATTGATCTATTAGTATAATGGAACAATTGCCGCGCCGGCAATAATGCGAGAACTTTCAGAGTTTGCAAAAAACTCCTCGAAGAAAACTCCCGTCTTGCGTCTGCGTAAATTTGATTAAATTTTTAGAATCAAAAGTCCTATGTTTGTAATTGTATCTATTGGCATTGCATATTTGCTATTTTCTGCTTTTGGACAACACAGAACAACCTCAGTTCTGATGACAGTCAACAAGCCACCTAACAAACACCGCTCTACTTTCTATCAATGTGTATATTTTCCTTTAGTATAAGTATAACAATACTAATAGTAATAGTAGTTCTGTGTGCGCGTTGAATTATTTCTCTGGCTTTGTAGATTTGTATACATTGTTTGTACATTTTCTGTACAACGTGTACGATCCCTTTTCCGCTACAGAGTGAACAGATTGATATGGTAGATGATGCTATGGTTGAGAATGGCCAGTTCCTTACGGAATATGTGAATCAGATACACATGGCGACGGTGTTATACCTTCTGTATAACAAGTTTTAACTTTTTAACTTTAAGCTTAACCACGCTCTCCCACAGTTCAACTGATTAACAGAAGATCACTTTAACAACGAAGTAATACAGCCGTCAACTCAGTGGCTGATTTCTAACACAGTCAACGCGTCCACGACTAGGAACAGGACACATCGCCTGGACACCGGACACCACTCTTATCCCAGCACATCTGCACTACAACGTGACGTCACAGCAACATCGCAATACGTGTCTAAGCAGACTTTAGCAAGGAGGGACACTTCGATTCGAGCACGGGAGATTTCCCACGGACTTTACTCTGTTACTGAA